TGGGCATGAGTCAGCCTTTCAAGGAAGAGACAGGTTGTGTGGGCGGTCAGGAGGCCTTCCTGGCAGGGGTGCTGGTGTAGGCAGAGGCAAGGTGGTAGGACTCAGTATGCAGGATAGGAGAGACAGAAAGTTCCGAAAGGACTGAGGAACTATTACTGGGAGTTACACCTGGACGGAAAAACAGGAGCTCCCAGAGGAGGGAGGGAAGGACATTCCAAGCAGAGGGAACAACATGGGCCAAGGCAGGACGATGAACAGGTATATGAGGTATTCACGGGAAGGGGGCTGGGTAGGTGTGGGAGGCTGTGAGCCAAAGGCCTTTCACGCCAAGCTCAGGAGTTTGGTGAGGAGAGCAGGTGGGAAGTGGGACCGTGGCAGTTTTCTGGGCAGGAATGATAGGTGATTAAAATGGGCCTCTGAGTTACCCCATGGAACTGTGCAGCTATTCCCTTGAGGTTCCCCACAGAAGGAATTAGAGCAGAATCATCTAGGTGACTGCACGCAACAGAGTACTAGTCGGTGAAGTAGGACATCTAGCTTTAAAAGCAAATTTGCACCCATCCGCTAGTTTTTGTGAAAGAAACGCTTCTGATTCTGATGGTGCACCGGTGTCCTCCTGCAAAAGAGAAATCCTGACTTTCTTTCCAACACAGTATTTTCATCCTGCTCTTGATGCTCTAATGAAGCAGACAGGCTTCCATGTTTCTCAGCTGAATATGTTTGTCATAAAAGCCGGCCCCGGTCCAGCCACCGTGGTTGTTACTGTGTCTGCTGCTGCAGCTTGGCAGCAGCAGGCAAGCTCCGTGCGGACGAGAGCGGGCCTCTCCGATTTCCTTCTCACTCCAGCCAACCTCTGTGCTGGCTCCTGGCCCATTGCCGGGTCTGCGGGACCTGGGCTTTGCTTACCTGCAAGGCAGGTGGGCTCTTCCTTGGGAGACATTTAATCCCTAAGGCCATGGGTCAGCCCTGCCCAGGACCCATCCTGAATGGCATGTCTTTGGTCCTTCCCAGCCATTGCCCTGGGCTCTTAACAGAGTGCTCTATGGGAGAGAGTGGGGTGCCAGGGTGAGGGGGTGTCAGGAAGGAGCCGAGGACCCCCATCTCTCTTTTCCCATGGTGACACCTCAGACGACTCCTATCTCCACACTATTTATAGCTGAGAGCCAGGCTGGCACTCAGGTCCTGTAAATCTGCCACTGAAGCTCTCTTCACTTAATGAAATCTGAATTGCAGCCTCCAGGTTAAGACAGTTGTGTGGTAGAGTAACATGTTTAAAAGCAGAAAACATCCCTTCCTGGGAAAGTCACTTTTTTACTATACTCTCAAGGAAGACCTTTCTAACAGGCACCCCAGACACAGCACATACACCCCAAATCAATTTCATCATCTTCCCCGAAAACCATCTTGGGAAAGGGCACTACTTTCCTTGCAGCCATTCAAGCCAGAAATCTCTACCTCTCTCTATGCACTACCCCCAGCCCAGCCAGCCACCTCCTCACCAGCCACCTTGCCCTGCCCTTTGTCAAGCCCTCATCACATTTACCGGGCATCCTGAAACGTCCTCGGGCCCTGCAGCTCCTCTAGCTCCTCCAGGGCGGGCATCTCACGCAGCGCTCATCCCAAAGCTTGTCCCACCACTCTGCTTAGAACGCTTTCTGTGTTCCCACTGCTCTCAGGTTAAACTCCTTGACGTGGCTTCTAAGTCCCTTAGTAACCGTAGCTGATACTTACATGGCGCTCACTGCGTGCCAGGCCTGCTCTGAACACTTCAATCTTACTAACTCCTGTAACGTTCCCAACAACCAGTTGAGGCAGGTGCTGTCGTCATCCCCATCCTACAGTAAGGAGACAGAGGCCTAGAGAAGTAGGTAAGGTTACCCACTGTCCATGGTCGGAAGTGGGACTTGTCCCGGCAGTCTGGCCCCAGAACCTGTGCTCTCCACCTCTTCTCTGGGTGAGGCCCTGCCAGACTCATCTCTTGACACCCCAACAAGCCATCTTCTTGCCCTACTGGTACCAACCGGTCCAGGTAGCTGGAGTGCCTCCCAGTGACCCAGGCAAAAGCCTCCCTTTAGAGGACTGTTACTCCTAATGCTTCCCGTACTTTCCCACCGTCTATCCCTTTATCGTTTAAGATTCAGTGTACAACTTAACCGCCGTCCTTGGAAAATCTGACCACTTTGTTCATTGTGCCTCTCATACTTGATAGAGATCTACCAGGGTACTTGTGATGTTTTATCAGATTTCTTGTAGGTATATCTTGGTCCCCTGTTAATCTTTATTTCTGGTACCTGTGCTTGGCACATCATAGCACTCAGTCAATGCTGTTGAATATAAAATGCTCCCCAAAGACATGATGGAGGTGTAAAGCTTGGTGGGAGCTCAAGCCTCGAATGGGGGTTGGTCCAGATGACTCGAGATTCCTTCCGGCTCTGACAATAAACGAGTCTCTGGCAGTTGCAATGATAAGCAACGTGGAGGAGTTCGCTTTAATGAATGTAAAAAGCAGGTTGATTTGAAGAAGGATATTGGGAGACCTGGCTTCTGCTCCCAGTTGCATCTCTTATTCACTGTGACTTGAGGCAAGTTACTTCCCTCTTGGCCTCAATTTCCTTCATTATTTAAATGGAAAGAAGAAAAGAAAACCTGAATAAGTGGGTGCCTTTCCCTTCTCCCCATCCAGTCCCTGCAGAAGCCAGTGGCAGGGGAACCCTGCACAGGTGCAGCCCAGTGTGCATACTGAGGGCAGGTAGGGGGAGACAGCGCGGGATCCTTTTCTGTACCTTGAGCCACGAGCTGGGGACTCCGGTTCCTGGCTCTGCCGCTTGCTCTCAGGGACCCTGGCTCCCTTCTCTTCTCCAGGGGAAAGGAGCTAGTCCTACTTGTGAGAACCAGATGAGATGTGGGTATGTAAAGCCTACATGGACAGGGCCGGATTGTACTGAGGGAGGCGCTGGACCGAGGCTCCAGATGAGTCAAAAGCCTTGGTTCCGTCTGGTATCAGCTTTATTATTTTGTTCCCTGCCATACTTTCCTCATCCATAACATGGCAATGGTGACAACACTGACACTCCAGAATTGTTGGAGGGGCTCCAATGAGGGGTTGAGTGCAAAAGGGGTATAATGCTTGTTCAGCTAACGTGTCAAGCCTGGCTCATGTAAACCCTCTGGTCACTCTGGGCAAACTTCTGCTCTTTGGGCTTTGGTTTTTGTTCCCCCCCATCTTCCCCCAAGCTGTTGGACATTCTGATGGTCTCCAGAAATCTGGCCAGACACACTGTCTTCTCTCCAGGAGACTGCCCACTGATTTGCATTCATTGTTCTTTCAAGGCGGGTGGAGGGGAGGGGAGGAGCTCAGGCAAAGGCTAAACTCTAGGCCCCAGACTGGGCAGCCTGTGTGCCCCTGCGCCCCTCCACACCAGCGCCTAGCCTCAGTTCGGTTCTTGTTGCAGCCCGTAAGCGTCTATCTGAGGTCCGCCTGCTCAGCTCAGGAACTGGAAGACACCTAAGTATAGACAGACTTTTTTCCTCTCGCAATAGCTTCCTGTCTCTGCCACACCGGCAGCCCCCTTGACTGCCACCTACCGGCTCCACAGTCGTTGACCAACCTTTCTCTTGTGGCCGATCTAGCTTGCTGCTTGGTTTTCATCTGCAGACACTATAATTTGTTTCGAACCCTCTCCCTTTGCTATAACAAAGGGAGCCCTACCTGCCCCTCCAACCATCCCCGCCATCCTGTCAGCTAATGACCCCAGCCTGCAACCCCCTGGCTCCTGCTTTACATTTAACTTTGCCTTGCCCCCGGGAAAATGTCAAGGTTGACCATAAGGGGACACAGATAATACAGGGTAATCTTCAGGGCAGACACTGTTGTTTACACAGGCAGGCCAAGAGCTTTGAGGAAGAGTTGGGGAAAATGTTTCCAGAAGGTTAAGATCTCATTAAGATCGACTGAACTTAAATCTTATCTGACCGGAGTGAGGATCTTCAGCCTCGGGGCCTCTGTACACAAAGGACAACAGCGGAGTTGGATAAAGTGGGTTTTATACCTGTATGGCCAGCGATTTAGAAGTACTTTATGAACGAATCTACGCCACTACAGACCCTCCTCTCAGTGAAGGCTCACAAGCTGTCCTTTATAAACACCAGACATCAGAGTTTGCTGAGCAAAGTTGTCAAGAAGCTTCCTGGCGCTCTCAGAGCCACGGTGGTGGTTCGGGTGCACAGGGACAGCTGGCTCACGTCTCATCTCCATTCCTTTCCAGTGAGGAAGAGGAGGCTGGCAGACTTGACCGGGCCCATCATTCCCAAGTGCCGGAGTGGCGTCTAGTGTGTGCGGGTGCCGACCACGCCTTTGAACTGGACGTGTTCTACTGATAGGCTGTGCTCTGCAGTGGAAACCGGAAGGCAAATGCCAGCACAAACCCTGTTGTGGTTCAGTTCTTTACGCACTAAGGTGTTAGGTTCGCTAGTGGTTGTAGTTGAAAATTTTATAAACTATGGTGAATGTGAAGTTTTTCTTTAGTCACAGAAGTTCAGTCCGGTTATTATTTAAAAACTAAAAAGCCCCCGAACTGGCAGACCTTACTGAAGACAATGTTAGAGCAGCAGTGACTTAACCGCAGGAGCCCAGTTTCGGTGACCTTGCTGTGTGGTGTTTCAGGTATATTTAAAATGTGTAACATGAACAAACAGCACCCTCTTCCATGTGGTTTAAAAGCATTATAAAATATTTTATTACAAACTTGATCTTAGCTCTTTAGCAAACAGAACATATCATCATTCTTTATTAATTCTCCTTTAAATTTTAAGAACCTCAAGATTAAAGTTGCTAAATTGATTTCTGGATCAAGAACACAATTTTTTTCCCCTCAAGAAAGACAGAAAGACTGAAGCCACAGAGCTCTGCCAGGAATCAAAGAACATGAGATTCCTTAAGCTGGTTATGAGGAAATGATAGAAAAAGCCAATGGTGAAGTCTCAAATTTTAAAAACCATCCTTTTTTTTTTTTAAACCAATTCCAGGCGACAAACATTTCCCTGGGTGTTCTTTATGAACATCTGGGATTTATTTACAATTTAATACTGGAGTCAGAAAGAAATTTTTCCTTATCGAATGCCAACCTTACGATGGATGTGAAAACCTATGGCCAAATACTTGAAAACACCTTTCTCTGTTGCACAGTGGGCCAATGCCTTATGTGAGGCACATCACTAGAGACACAAATTTCTAGTCCATCATGGCTTATGCTTACAGACTTCAACTACCTATCGCATCACTTCTTAGACAAGTCACCGCTGATCTCATGCCTGTAAATTAAGCCTCCAAAGGTCAGTGGTGAAGAAAATCTAGATATTTAAGAACTAGGAAACCTGGCCAAACCACCCAAGATGATTATTCTGAAAATGTAATTTTGGCATTTCTGCTGGATCCCTTAACATCACGTGCATCTCTTAGGATCCAGCAAAAATGTTAAGCCACACTGCCCTTGTGCCTTTTAATATACCACGGTGCCAGTTAAACTAGTATTTCTGTTGCTTGGGGAGTTATTTTCGTGAGTGATTCAGCAAATCTTACGATAAAGGACAAGCCAAAGAGCTGACGAGCACAGACTAAGCTGCAGAGCACTGAGCAGAGAGGTTTTTGGCGAAAAAGGAAAAGTCTTGCACACGGAACTGTAATGATGGGACAGTACAGGGTAACCAGAGGTGGAGTCAGGGCCTCACCACTATGGAGGAGTGTCTACTGAGGCTGCAGATGGGCCCAGGAGTGGCTCCGTGCTGCAGGAACGGCCAGCCCCACTCGGCTTCTCCTTGAAACACAATTGCAGCTGTATTCTGCATCAATGGAAACTGCAATATAATATTAAATCTGTTGGTCTAAGAATGGCTGTGCATGTGTTTCTTGGGACTTGTGGGCCAGGGACATGCGCCTGACATGGTGGCTAGAGGCTGGGAAACCACCACAGCAGTGCTGAATAACCTCATACAGAATGTCTTGTATTCTGAGGTGTTCACCTAAAAACTGCCCAAGTGTTAATGTCATCGAGCTAATGTGAATCTCTCAAAGAGAATACTTCAGAGCTAAGAGTGTGGGTGTTGGGGAAAGCAGATGAAATCTCTCACAGAAACCAAACCAATGAAACATGAAGGTAGACCACATCTTTAAGACCATCTCCTCCATCAGAGGAGCTGTTGGTCTAGACTAGGGGTGGCAAGTTTTTTTCTGTAAAGGGCCAGATAGTACAGGCACACCTTTTTTTGTTGTGCTTCGCAGATATTTCAGTTTTTACAAAATGAAGGTTTGTGGCAACCCTGCATTGTCAGATGATAGTTAGCATTTTTTAGCAATAAATTTTTAAAATTAGGTTATGCACATTGTTTTTTTAGACATAATGCTATTGCACACTTAACAGACTACAGTATAATGTAAGCATAGGTTTTATATGCACTAAGAAACCAAAAAATTCACGTGACTTACTTCATTGCGGTGGTTTGGAATTGAATCCACAACATCTCCAAGGTACGCCTGGAAATACTGCAGCTTTTGCAGGCCATAATGTCTCTCTTGTAAATACTTAATTCTGCCATAGGTCATATGTAAATGAATGGGTGTGGCTATTCCAATAAAATTTTATTTACAGAAGGAGGTGGGCCAAATGCCATAGTTTTCAGATCCTGGTCTAGTGCTCTGAGGCTAGCAGAGAAGACAGAAGGGTAGGGGTGGATGGCAGATTGACCTAAGGGGCCTGGTTCCGGGGAGTCCACTTCCAGGGCCACAGCTTTCACATTCTGCCATCAGGACAGACAGGTTTGCTGATAAGAAAAATGACTACTCCCAGCCCTGCTGCATGGCACAGAAAGGGCATGACCTGGTCACCAGGCTCAAGGCTCTCTCCCTCAGCAGCTTTGGGATCCTACACAGCTCACCTTTTTCTGTGCTCTAGCATCTTCTGAGTCAGAATGTCTCCAGTAAGAGGTCAGCACCCAACTCCCTCTTCCCTCCTCTTGTGAAGGACAGGTGGCCAACATGGTGACCAGCTGGCCATGGTGGCTCTGGCAGCACTAGAGTTCCCTGTTTCTCTGCTGGAACAGCCCTAATATTCTCCAATACATGGTCGCCCCAAACCTAGCTCTGTGAAGGATTGGGGAAAGGCAGATGGGGCTGCTCATGTAAGCATGGCCCATCCTCATCATCACCTGGCCTGGGCCCCGGGCTCGCAGGGAGTCGCCCCTGCTGTAAGAGCTCCCTGGGTGCGCGTAGCCGTCGGGCTGTACACTCGCATTCCTCTTTAAAACTGCTCTGGGCTGGGCTTGCAGCCTGCCTGCTCCCTTTGTCTTGACACGTGACACAACAGGCTGTGAATCCTTGTCCTTGGCAGGCAGGGCAGGTCAAGACGAGCTGGCGGCACTGGGGAGTGGAGCACAGTTTATACTGGTCCCATGGGGCCCCACAGTATGAACATTCTGGGGAAGAAAGAAAAGCCTTGTTATAAAGACACATGAGCACACACGTGTACACACAACAGACGTGTACACACACATACGTACCACATGCACACGCAGACGCAATTCTCCAGTTCCTAAATATAACCCTTAGCTCATCAGCATCTAATGTACCTTTTGGGTCTGAGGAAGGTTTCTAAATAGTGTAAGTCTCCTGTCTTCTAACAGACGAGGTTCCCCCACCCCCACCTTTTTGGGGGGAGGTTGCTTCTGGGAATTGTCTTCTGATTCCAGCATTCACTGACCCATTTTTCTTTTTCTCATTTAGAAAACAGGTAGTAACGTTTCTCTCTTTCATTCACTAGTCCAAAGCTGGCCAAGCACCCTTTGTTGAATGGTCTTTTTCCTTTAGATCATTCCCTTTTGCACTGGGAGACAACACGCCTGAATACAGATAATCCCACATTGACATTTGGCTTCTGCAGTCCACACTCCTCTTCCCCAGGCCTGAGGTTCTCCTGCTTTTGCCAGAGGACACTTGGCCACACAACTCCTAAAACTTATCTACTTTCTCGGCCCCTTTTCCCTGCTGACCTCCTATCACCATTGATAACATCATTCTTCAAGTCTCTTTACCTAGCTTATCTAAGCTACCTTTGGGCCCTCTCTCTCCCCTTTCTGCTCCATCTAGCTCTGTAAGAGATCTGAAGTTGCTTCCAATAAGACACAAATATAAGACCATTAAAATGAATAAAAAGATCAAGAAGAAAGGGGAGAGGAAATCAGACTCCCACCTTATTCATTATCTGAGTGTTAATTCAATCTCAGCCCCTGATCACAGGAGTTCTAGAAAATTCTGACAGCCACTAGGGTTGTCTGCCTGTGATCTTTCCCGTTCAAAATGGTGGCATCCAGGGGGAGGATCCATTTTTCTTAAGGATTATTTCCATCCTTCTTTTACTGACTGCCCTCATCTGGTACCATATGTTAGTGTGGACTCCAAACTACAGTCACAGCACAGGCTTCCTGTAGCCAGCCCTGCCTCCTGCCTTGGCCCTAGGCTCAGCTCCCCCTTGGAATGCCCCACCCACCACTCGAAAGTGCACACCACACGTGTCCACAGACCGTCTAATTAGGGGTTCTTTTACTTGTGCCGTGAATTTACTTGACAGTCTGGTGAAGACTATTCTGTCTTAGAAAAATGTTTTTACAATGCATAAAATAAAATACATAGGATCACAAAGGAAACCAATTATATAGAAATACAAAATAACGAAATATTCTTTAAAGTCTGGGATACAGTAAAATACTTGTTAACACATTCTATAACAAGACTTAGTGATGCGCCTAATAACTATTTCCATTTTGAAGCAATGATGAACATAAATGCTATTTTGAAATATTCACAGCAGCTGTAATATATGAAAATACTGTGATTTCTAGTGATAACAAAGTCACAGGTACATCTAATACTACTGATTTGCTGCTTACATTCATAATTGAAGGAAGTACTATATTTAGTGAGGGGTTATGAAACTAAAGATAAAATTATTTTCCATTCCAAATCCTGTCTGCTCCACTGCTGCATCTCCAACTCTGTTAGGAAATGGTGGTCCTACGTACTCCTTTTCCCTTGCTTTATTCTTCAAGTAATCAGTACTGGTCTGTCTTCCAGAAGGTTAATACAGAGGGTGTGCCTGATCATGAATGTAGGTTCTGAGTCTGTGCTGACCTACCTGACACTATGTCACTGTTGAAGGATAAGGCATAACGCTCATCAAAAACGAACAACTTCCCTTTGTAAAAACCATCAGGAAACTCCTCCAGGTACTTGTGGATGCCACCCTTGAGCTGGAACACTTCCTTGCACACTCCCTATGTGTGGAAACACAAGAGGAAATTTGAGGAGACTAGCAGAGACCAGTAGGAAGCTCCACAGAGGAGCAGCATGCGGTAGGAATGCCGAAATGGGGCTCCTGGCTCCCGCTGCGGGACAGTGAAGAACTGCTGACCAAGGGGGCAAGGAACCAACTGGCAGATCTTGCCTACTAGGGTGATGGGAGAGGACAGCAGTCAGGGCCTTCACTCTCTAGATCCTGGGAAGCCCAACTATTTTTGCTGCTCCCTAAATATAGGAAGACACCTGTTAGGACATGTAATGTTACTGAATTTGCTCTTCTCAGGATCAAGTAAAAGGATTAGGAAAAGGGAGATATCAACTAATCTTTCCCTTTTGTACTTGATGAGTCTCTAAGACTGTTGAGTGCTTTTCACATCTTGAGATTTAAGAACTTCAGATTTTATACTTAGAAACTCTATGCTGGGGAGAATAAATCCCTGGCTGGCTGGGTGTGGGAGAGGGAGTGAAGGTGGGGATTGGAAAGTTCCACACACGCTGTGGGTGGAGCCTTCTTCACTTCCATGCCTGCAGTGCCCTAAGGGTGGTGACTCACCTTGGCTTTGAGGTAGGCTGAACCCCGCTCACAACGGATGCCCCCAGTGCAATACATCAGCACCCTCTTCTCTTTGAAAAGTTCTAGGTTTTCATCAACATAGCTAGGGAAGTAACTGAATTTCCTGATGTCTGGGGCTAAGCAGCCCTGGAACCGTCCCTACAATATAGGAGCAGCAGAAAGAAAATGATCAGAAAAACATACCTGGTAAGAACAAAGCTTCTTTCTGTGTCAAACACCACTCCCCACCCCTGCCTTGGCAAGGAAGCACTTGCTCCCTGCTGTTTTCATCCCACACGCTAGCCTTTCAAACTTCAAAATCTGGAACTTAGAAACAAGGCTGGTGGGCTGTGGGTCACCCAACCAGAGACCTCAGGGGAACTGGAGAGGCTGCCCAAAGCAAACTTGACAAGATCCTTGACACATGTCAGGGGTAGGCATATGGGAGCCAGAAAGTCCATTATGTGCCAAGATGTCTTTAATCCATATTTTCTTAGACTTTCTCACCAGATTCTGAGTTTGAAGTCTTGGGTTTTCTCTGATGCTGCTAGTAGTGGGAGGAGAGCCACTGACTCAGCCACAGGTGGGCGCACAGCATCCCCTTCAGAAACATGCTATGCTGTGGGAACTCAGTTCTGGTTCTTACTTACTATTTTGCTTTCATAGAAGTTTCTGCAGTCCAGTAGGATAGTATCACTTTCTTCTTGATTTGCCTGAGACAGAAACTTTTCTACTTCTTTATGAAATTCACCTGGGGATAAATGGATTCCTTAAACCAAACAAAAAAATCAGTTAAAACAAAACAAAAACAAAACCCAGTTACAACTGGCCCAGCCCGATGACTTCCATTTGCTTTGTTTCTCCCCACCTAAACCTTTCCTCTCATAATTACAATTACGTCTGAAAATGACACTATCTGATGATCATAATGGAAGAATTTAGTAATTCCATGTATCCTCACTCTCCCTCCTCCTAAGATGAGCACTGTGGAGACCTGGCAGTTTAGAAACAGAGAATTTTGCATCCTCATACTTGGCCTAACCCAATAATAAAAGCCAGACAGAAGGGATATAAACTGCCATGTGGGTTTTCCGGTCCATGTTATGGCCAGTGTTCTACTGTCACTGTATGTGGAGGAGCCTGGGCATGTACATGCTTGACTACAGGCTTTATAAACTGTTCTATACCAACATCAAGTCCGAGGCTAAGAACCCTGGCACAGGCAGGTGTGAGCATATGGTTATGGAACAAAGTTGGAATAAGTTTTTTAAAAATACAAAAGAGTAAGAAGAATGTGTCTAAGTTTGTGTGCATGAGTAAAAAAGAAAATGGTGGGAGGGGCTGACAGCAGGAATGAAATATGAGAAAGAAGGCAAGAGAGAGAAAAGGATGAAACGCTAGAAGAAGGAGGAGAGAAAGGAGATAAAGAAGATAAGTAACATACAAGGAGACTAAAAGAACCTGTCCAGTGAGGCCCTCTGCCTCCTCTACTCTCTAGGATAGAAATACTCCTGTATCTTTAGGGTCCAGACATCTCAGTAGTTTGTGAGGAACTTCTGGTGAATTTGGCCACCATACATCATGTGGTGGTGGTGGGGGCGCTCTGGTCCTTGAGTCATGGTACCACTCATGATACAGCCTGACAGCTCCGCTCAGGGGTGAATCCCAACAACCCCCTGAAACTGCTGAGTACCCAGATCGGGCTGGAGACCCAGAGCACGGCCAAGGAATCTGGACTCCTACCTGCTTAACCTAGGACTGCAGGGAGAATGTAACAAGGCCAGATTTTATATAAGTTACTGTCACATAATTTACACAGTCAACAAAACAGTGGGGTGGAAAGGGACGTTCAAAACTGTGATGAGAAGCATGGAAATCTGCTAAGACTTCTCCTTACAGGGAGCTGCAGGGAACCCAGCCTGTTCCTGCTGCTGCTATTACTGTGGCTATTCTCCTGGCCCTGTGGAGGCCTGACCAGAGAGTGACTCACATGAAGTGCTTAAAAGAAGTGCCTCCAAACAACTTGGCTCAAATGAAAGCAGCAAAGCACTGCCTGGAGCCCACTCTCCCCTAAGCTCCGGAGCAAGGTCCTGTAGCGCCAACGAAGAGCTGTTTGTGGTCATCCTGCCTCCTGCCAAGGTAGGGACACTAAGCAGACACGGCCCTTTTTGGCCCTTTTCTCCTCATACATGAGTCTCTTTTCCCAGATGCTTGTATCTTACTCTCATTTCCCTCTGGTTTAACTCTTAACCTTTTTAAATATTTACAAGTTAAAAAAATGAACATAGAGCCAGCCAGACCTTTCTATTTCCTGATGAAAGGGGACAATACTACCTATGAAGTAGACTTGGGGAAAAAAAAGGAAAGAAAGAAAAAAGGAAATCAAACCTGAACCTGATCAAGTCTCTAGACATGAGCTATCTAATATGGCAGCCACTAGCCACATGTGGCTAACAGGCACTTGAAATGTGGCTTGAAGTGTGCTGTAATAAGGGTGACAGAGATGCAGGATTTCAAGGACTTAGTATACAAAAAAAAGAGTAAAATATCTCATTAATAATTTTTTACACTGGATACAAGTTGAAATAATATTTTGGCTATATTCCATTAAATAAAGCATATTATTGAAATTAATTTCATTTGTTTCCTTTTATTTTTTAAAATGTGGCTACTAGAAAATGTAAAATTCCATTGTAGCTCACATTATATTCCTATTAGACAGCACTATTATAAATCTAACTACAGTTCATAGGAAATACAGAGGACAGAGGAACATCCCATAGAGATGCAATCAGCATTATACTGATTGTGGGAAATGCTATAAGCAAAATGATCTAATTCCTTCAAAAAATAAACTGCAGGGGAAAATAAAAGATGGAAGTGAATCTCTAGCTTAAAAGGGACTTTAGGAGACATAGTGATCAATCACAATGAGTGGACCTTACTTGAATCCTGATAGAAACAAACTTAAAAAAGTGTGAGATAACTGGGAATTTTAACCACTGGCTGGATATTTGATAACATTAAGAAATTGCTGTTAAAATGTTTTAGATGTGATGATGGTTTTACAATTATTTATTTTTTTAAAAACCTTTATCTTTTAGAGATATCTACTAAAATAGTTACGAAAGAAATGACATGACATCAGGATTCTCTTCTAAATGATCCAGGATGGGAGAAGGGGGTGGGGATAGATCAAAGCTGGCCATGAGTTTATAACTGTTGAAGCTGCGGGAGAGGTACAAGGGAGTTCACTGTACTGTTTTCTCTATTTTTTTTAATGTTTGAAATTTTTCATAGTAAAAAGTAAAACAAAACCAAAAAACCCAGCCAAACAAATGTCTTTCAACCATCTACGGTACCCATGAGGGAGGGGCAAAGAGAACATTCTAGAGCACTTGCAAACAAACTGCTTTGGTGTTGAAAGCCACTTGCTTCCTGTAGCAAAAAGCCTGTGTTTTATTCAGTTGATGAACTATTTACAAGTAATAATTACACTCTTTCCAAATTGTTATCTTTGGAAAGAAAACAACTTCTTGCCAAACCATCACCAAAAAGAATAACTAAGCCACGTCATTCTAAGTAGTGAGTCTCCAATCACCGGAGCACCAAAGAGAAGAACCAGTTTAAGCACTGAATGACCCAAGTGTTAGCCACCCCACAGATACTCTGAAGCGAGAACTCATCACAACTCTTGCTGATCAGAATGTCTAGCTTTCACATTTGTCTCTATATTAAGATTTGTCCCTATGAAGAAAAGGAAAATGCTTCTTCTTAAAGCAAGCATACCAGGCTTCTTATAGGAGATCCTACTGGGACTGATCCCCATGGGCACAATCTCTGCAAACACACCAACACGCAGTTCTGGAAAACAGCAAGCTCCTCCTTTGCTGGTCTAGCCAATGAGAAACAAAACAGAATACAGTCTTTCTCTCCCATCTCCAGGTATAAGATATTTATTCAGTTAAATTATCTGGAACATTCTATGCTCTAACTCCCTTTTCCCACTGAAACAGTTGTTCCTAATTTGAGGTTTCTTAATACTTCAGCTACCCTATTATTACACAACAGATATAATTCTTATATTTGGCACTTATTTATTGTGTATCTACCATGTGCAAAAATGTCAAATTGAAAAGGTGTTTCTATAGCAATAAGCATTTAACTATAAAACTGAAATACCACTGAGCAATTTCAACATGTAAGATTACATCCCAGCTTTTAAAGCTACAACCTTTTCTTTCCTTATCATCATCACCAGCACTAACACTAGCAAGGTATTCCCCACCACCTCTATCACCCATGATGCTAAAGCATGAAGTCACTCCAACAAAGCAGCTCTCTTGGGAGAGCAATAGCTTTATTCCCTGTGTGGTGTGAAGTGCAGATCTGATCCCACCAGGTTCACTAAACACGTAGTGATCCTGATACAGCCAGGTGGTCTCTCAAATGAACAAACACGGCTAAGTTTGAGAGTTTATAGAATATATAAGCTGTAACGTCCTTATTCTATAAAAAAGGAGACCAAGGCCCATGATCACGTGGTGACGTGGTGGACGAACTGGAACAAGCATGCTCCTTCTCCTGCACTGCCTCGGGACCTAGCAAGGAAAGGGTGTTCTGTCCAGCACTGCTTACTTCTTTATAGTGATCCTCTTCATAGCCTGGAGTGGGAAGAGGCACTGAAGCAGAAGCAAATGGCTCTCGATCCACTTTATGTTCAATTTCTCTTACCTTAAAATCGTCCTTACACAGATAATCCTTAAACAATGGGCAGGAAAGCATGACTTCTACATAGAGTCTGGTGGCCAATTTGCTTCCACCCACTGTCCCATTGATTCCTTCTGTAGCAATTCGAACCTGAGACACAAGACAGTGAGAGAAAGGGAATGCAGGCTGTTCTTAGCTCGGTTCAAATCTCTGCAGGGCAGAACAGGTTCGTGTGTGTCAATGAGTTTAACAGGAAAAGCAGAAACATTGCTGTGGACACAAAAATGTTACCACACACAGGATGCTTGTAGTTTTCTAAAATGGCACACTGCCCATAGTTCAGACGAGGTACTCAGTTAACGTGTGCCAAACAAGAGAATGAAATGGATAGAACAACTGGAAAGTCCCATTTGCTATGGAGCTCCAGCTGTCCAGTGGCCAAAACTTAAATTCAGGTCAACAGATGTAGGATCAGGATTCAGCTTTGCCATTTACTTGCTAAGTGACCCTGAGAAAATTAATTCTCTCTGAACCTCAATTTCTTCATCTTGATAAAACATGAAAAAGAATCAACAATGAAAAACTGCTGTCCTCAAGTCCTAAAGCACAGAACACATCTGAGGGCTGGGAATGCACATGAGCACATCTCTGCACAGTGTTGGAGGTAAAGCCCACCACTGCAAACCCACCCGTTGGAATACAAATTCCACAAGGAGGAGCTTGTGTCTCTTTTGTTCTTTGTTGCATAATCGGTGCCTAGAGTAGTACTTGCCACACAGTAGAATTTTAATATGTATTTGCTGAGCAAATGAATGTGTATCCAAATCTGAGGCTTTTTGGCTTCTCAAGCCCTCTATTCTCTTTGAAATGCTTCACTGGTTAGGGGACATTAAAGCCTGGGTTAAGGCCCCTGCCTTAAGAGGCAATCCTCTGGAGGGCCTGCAAAGTTACTTGTTCTGGTACCACAAAATCCTCTGGATAAGTTTAAAGATGGATCATCTCTAGACAGAGCTAGCTTTCTAGGGAAAAGTAAGAAAGTGCAACACTGTATATCATGGTATTCTCTGGAAAGAGATGTAATTTAAGTCAGGGTCTTATATTGTTACCACTTCGTTATATATTGTTATTTATATAGCAATGATACCTACCAATGCATTAGAATTTGAAAAATTTTAAAAGCTCCCCTTTTATTAGGGCCTAGAGAAGATACTTCGTTTGTTGCCTCACTTGATTCAATTCTTTAGGGCATGGATATAAATGGGATTCATTTCACAAGCCAGGGCCAACTCACTAGTAGTGGCTCTCCAGAGTTCCATGATGAGCATTCTGAGTCACATCCAGACTCCTTGAGAAAGAGGAGTGCAGTCTATTGAAGCCTGTTCTGGGCTGGGAGAGGAAAGTAGGAAGCATATGCCATCTCTGCTGTACAGACTACTGCACCTATTACCGACTCGTATTTTTTTAAGGGACAACATAGAAAAATAGAGCTGAACCAGCATAAGGGTCAGGAAATCTACTCTAAAACTGTCTCTGACGGGGGCAAATATGATGAAGAGGTACATACGTCTGTGTACCTGTCTTCTAAGTAGGTCAGAAGACCCTTTCCTATGCTATTTTAATCTCAGAAGCCAAATAAAAGACAAGCACAGGCACTCCCTAAATACCTGAGGCAGAGCAACCTCTAAACTCATGCACTAGACTTTCAACTTCTGTTGAAGGATTCTTCAACTGAAACCTTCAAAGTAGCTGCTAGGTGAGGAAGGCCTTATACCTCAGAGATGAAGAGCAATAGTTAGCATTTATTGAGTACCTAGTATGAGACAGGAACTTTACATTATACTCCTGGAAAGTAGATATCAAAATTCCCATTTGACAGAAAAGGAAACAGAAGCTTAAAGAAATCAAGTAACTTGCCCAAGGGCACAGAGTTGGTAGGTGGTAGATCTGGGATTCAAAACCATATCTTATTGGGTCCAAATCTTGCAATTTTTCCTTTCTAAAGCCTCTAATGCATCCCCTCAAATTTCTTGAGGCAGTAAGAAATGTATAGCAAAGGGATCAAAAGCTTCTTTCCATAATTCTAGAATTTTCAAGTTCTCCTCTTTCCCTACAAATGCCAACATTCTGCCAAATCTCCTACCAACACAAAACTTGAAAACTTGGCTGAAGCCTTAAAATTTAGAACTAAGATCCAGGTAGGTGCTGCCACCTTGTGGGCAGAGGCCCTCACTGCTAGGTCACCTTGGGCTGGGCCAAGAATAAAAATCGGCCCCAGACCAAGGAAACAAATTGATTTCCTATTTTGTAGGCTCAGGTTTACTGTGAGAGAATATCCATCCTTCAAGGTGTTCTCTAAATAGAGATGGTGATAAACGTATATACGCCACAAGTGTTTACTGAATTTTTTTTTTTTTTACAATGTGCCAGCAATTGTGCTAGGAATTGGGTCATAGTGGTTAAAAAATAAATAGTTTTTGCCCTTTGGGAGCTTACAGACTTAAGGAAGATCACAGATATTCAGACAAAAGTCACACACTGACAAGTGCTATGAAAAATCACTGCAAGAGGCAATGAAAAAGTGTATTTGGAAAACTGAATTTAGATTAAAGGTCAGGAAGGATGTCTTTCAGGAAGTGTCATTAAAATTGAGAACTAAAGATTGATTAAAAATTATGATAGGAGAACCCGAGTGGGTGTGGGAGAGTTCCTTGAAGAGAATTTTCTTACAAAAAGGCCCAAAGGCACCAAAAAAACTGAGGGCTCCAAGAAACTAAAAGGCTATTTTGCTGGAGTGTAATGAGTAAAGAATGGTATCAGGAGGGAGGGAGGGAGATGATTTCATTTACCTTTTAAGATCATTCTGGCTGCTGTGTGGAAAATGATTAAGTGCAGGCAAGGATGGAAGAATGGAGAGTAGTCTGGAAGCTGCTGAAATGAACTAGGTAAGAGAGGGTGGGGCTTGGTTTAAGGTGGTGGAAGCAGAAGACAGAGTGAACGGAATCAAAGGATATTTTAGAGGCAGAAACGGCAGGACTCGGTGATGAACTGAATGAGGTAAAAGAAGCTTTCAGCCACTATCTATACAACAACATGGGTATGAAAAATATCACTGACTGATCAAATAATTGCCTTAGGGAATTAAAACCTAGGACATGTGTGGGAAACATTAGGCCTAAGACAGTACAGCGTCATAACCAGAGGTGATCTCAGAGGGAATCTAGTTCACCTCCTTTTGATTTAAAATACATATATACACATATGTGTGTGTGTGTGTGTGTGTGTGTGTGTGTGTATATATATATACACACATATATATATGTAATCATCGAGGATTTGAAAAAAAAATCCATAGTCCTATCACGTAGAGATAATCACAACTAACATTTTGATATTTACCACTCTCCATCTTTTTACACACACACTTGTGGTTTTGTTACAAACATACATTCATCCTTTTACTCAACATTCTCCAAATATTTACTGTCTGCTATGTGCTAAGCCCCGTTCTAGCACTGACAATATATCAATTGATTAACAAAGTTCTGTACTCATGAAGCTTATATTCTACAAGGGAGATAGATTATAACAAATTAAACAAAGATTATACTCTCCAATAGTAGTACATTTTTTGAAATTCTTTGAGCAGAAGGGAATAGAAAGTGATGAGGTTTGGAGATTATACTCTCCAATAGTAGTAAACTTTTTGAAATTCTTTCAGCAGAAGGGAATAGAAAAGTTTGGAGAGAGACAGATGAGAATTCTCAGGAGAGAACATTTGAGGGGAGATCTGAAGTGAGGAACAAGCCATGTGAAGATCTGGGGGAAAAAACATTCAAGAGGGAAGGGAAACAGCAAATGTCAAAACCACAAAATGGCAAAAGACTGACATGTTCTAAGAAAATTAGGAAGCAATTTGATATCACACCTATATGTACAGTTCTATAAAATGTTTTTCCAGTTAATATATCAAGAACATTTCCCCATGCAAGGGGTCAGCAAATTATGCCTGCTTTTACATAGGTTTTACTGGAATATGGCCATATCTGTTCCTTTACATATTGTCTATGGTTGTTTTCATATTACGACACCAAGTTTGAGCAGCTTTTGTGCAAATCCTAAAATATTTACCATATGGCTGTTTAAGAAAAAGTTTGCTGATCCCTGGTCTATGCCTTTATGTAGTCTTATAAAACACCATTTTTTTTTAATTGTAGTATAGTTGATTTACAATGTTGTGTTAATTTCTGCTATACAGCAAAGTGATTTAGTTATACATACATATACATTCATTTTTTAAATATTTTTTTCCATTATGGTTTATCATAGGATACTGATTATAGTTCTCTGTGTTATACAGAACGTTATTGTTTATCCATTCCATATATAATAGCTTACATCTGCTAACCCCAAACTCCCACTCCATGCCTCCCCCAATCCCCTCCCCGTTGGCAACCACGTCTGTTCTCTATGTCTGTGAGTCTGTTTCTGTTTTGTAGATAGGTTCAGCTGTGTCATATTTAGATTCCACATATAAATGAAATACGGTATTTGTCTTTCTGACTTACTTCACTTAGTATGATAATCTCTAGTTGCATCCACATTGCTGCAAGTGGTTGTTCTTTTTTATGACTGAGTAGTATTCCTTTGTATATATGTACCACATTTTCTTTATCCATTCATCTGTTGACGGACATTTAGGTTGTTTCCATGTCTTGGCTATTGTGAACAGTGCTGCTATGAACATCGGGGTGTATCTTTTTGGATTCGAGTTTTGTCTGGATATATGCCCAGGAGTAGGACTGCAGGATCCTATGGTAGGTCTATTTTTAATTTTCTGAGGAACCTCCATACTGTTTTCCATAGTGGCTGTACCAACTTACACTCCCACCAACAGAAAACATCATGTTAATAGCTATTTAGTATTCCACTTAAATGCCTAGCAGGAATTTGCTAATTTCTAAGAACCCAACTGGTGAGGCCTTCAAGCACAGCCTCTGCAAACTAAGTTGGAGGCAAGATGAGTCCAGTGAAGGATAGGGTGTGGGAGAAGGTGTTACCTTGCCCGTGAGGTGCAGGTGCTGACACAGAGCTGTCTGCCAGGCACAGATCCAATCAGGATCCTCCAGGTCACAGTAGCAGTAATAAAGTAGCACCTCCCCTTCACCATTGCTGTGGCCACTATAAAAAGAAAACCACAGGGGAAAAAGCATTTGAGTCACTGGCATAAGGAAAACACAATTCATAAGTATACCCAGGCAGACTCAGAAGAAAGGCCTAATGGAGCAACTCATGCCTGCCTTTGCTCCTAACTATCATTCTCCCCCTGAAATGAGAAGCAATTCCTGTCTGTATTTGCTCTAAAGAAGACAATACCTGCACTGAACTCCTTCCTTTATAAACAAGTGAGCTTACTTTGATTTCCTTGTTTAATCATCATATCCATGAGATAGGTATTAATAACCCCCTTTCATAAGACAGCTGGAAATTTTAATCCATTCTGGCTTATATTCTAACACAAGGCAGTATCTGTTTTGAATCTCTCTCTGTACAAAAAGGTTTCATTTCCATTTTTTCAAGTAATCCTGTTACCCATGAGACAGGTTATTATCATCCCCATTTTATAGCTGAATAAACTGAGCCCAACTCATCCCAGGTGAGACAGCTACAAAGTGACAGTCAGGACTGGAACACCAGTCTTCTGACACTAGAACCCACACTCTTTCTACTGCACTGTGCTGACTTAAACTAACTAGTTATGGGACCTGGGCAGGTGTCTTATCATCCCTGAGCCTTGATTTCCTCAACTGTAAAACTGGAGGACTGAAATAAACTGCATTTCTCAAAGTGTGCTCTGAAGGTGTTCTATGAAATCACATGTCTGAGAAATCCTGCAGATAATATCTTCCCTTTGAGAGTCACAGTGAAAGCCCCTCATTTATTGAAGGCTCTGGGCAGTCCTGCAAAAAAGAACATTTTAACCTAATGCTTCCCAAACTTAATTGTCTTTAGCATCTCTTTTCAACACCTGATAGCATCCTCCAGAGCTAGTGTTGTACAGACATATTTTAGAGAATGATATAACAGATGATAATTAAGGTCCCATCCAGCTCTGGAATCTGTGACTGTCTCCTCAGTGCCCTCTTCATATTTCAGGGCCGAGTCTCCGAAACCTGCTTATCTATTTCAGAGCCTATCTATTTCCTGTTCTCTAAATTCCTATAATGAATTACTGTCTGAGCCATACAACTGTAAGTGATAATTATATAGCCTGTCTCGTACCATCTGCTAAATGTTTCATGTATCCTTTTCTTTGTCTTTCTAACTAAAAAGCAGGGCCATGCAGAAATGAAGAGACCACATTTGTATAGCACTTTATAGTTCACAAGTGCTCTTACCATCATCATTTTATACAATTCATATAGCAATTCTGTGAGGTAGGCAGAGCAGGCATTATTATTCCAGTTTAGAGGCGAGAACGTAAAGGTACAAAGAATTTTAGTGACTAGCTCAAGTCTGACTCCAAGTTCAATTCTCTTTCTAACTTTCTCTTCCTCTTTCTGATAAACAAAGGGAACTGGCATAACACGGGTGACAAAAATGTATCAAATTTGGGCATTTTCTATTCACCAAATAGTTTAGGAATTGCTTAAAATCAGAAATCTGTCCTCTAGAATTATGTAATATTATGATTTGGTGAGGTTTTCAAAGGCAGATTTAAACTTCTAATCCTATGCCTCAGTTCTAAAACTTAACATAGGGACTTCCCTGGTGGCACAGTGGTTCAGAATCCACCTGCCAATGCAGGGGACACGGCCTCAAGCCCTGGTCCGGGAAGATCCCACATGCCGCGGAACAACTAATCCCATGCACCACAACTACTGAGCCTGTGCCCTAGAGCCTGCGCACCGCAACTACTGAGCCCGCATGCTGCAACTACTGAAGCCCATATACCTAGAGCCCATGCTCCGCAACAAGAGAAGCCAGCGCAGTGAGAAGCCCATGCACCGCAATGAAGAGTAGCCCCCGCTCGCCGCAACTAGAGAGAAAGCCCGTGCACAGCAACAAAGACCCAACACAGCCAAAGATAAATTTTTTTAAAAAAATAATAAAATAAAATAAAACTTAACATACTTTATAAAACATATTCAGCTCAGAAAACCACATTTGGCAACAAAACCCCCTTTTTAAGTTCTGACATTATTCAGGGTACAGGAATCATCAACATTTCTGGGCCTTCTGATTTCTCTTTGAAAAAAAATACAATTTTCTGTTCCTTACCTCTGCCTAGAGAAGATAAGATGTAGGATGGCTTCTGAGAAACCCGGAGAACACTGTAAGCTGTGCGGGTATATGCTACCGCATAGGCTATGGTCTTCTATTATACATAGAACATGTTTATCGGCCTAGTTTAGGCGGTAGAGAAATTCTGTGCCTTAAGGATTTGCCATTTTAGTGGATGGGTGGTATCTCACTGTGACTGGAAAAACATTTTTTAAATTAAACGAAAGGTATAGAATGAAATTCTTACCTTAACAGCTCATCAGGGCTAAAGCAGCTTATATCAGGGAGCCAAGCAGACACTTCATGGTTATGCGTAAGGTCTTCTTTGAAAGGGTTTCTTTTGTCTGCAGACTTAAGAGTCTTTGAGGTGCTTGATGTCACAGTCAGCTGCTTTAAAACAGAAGCAGTCTCACGGTAAATCTCATCAGCATGTTGTGTTGCCACATGTCTGTGGATGCTGGTCTGGTCTGTGAATAGTTGCTGACAGCATTTCCACCATTTTTCTTTATACTCAGAAGGAGGTGCTGGAAGTTCTTTAGTTTTGACAAAAAGGGCAAATGCCTACAATTAAATTTCAAATATGTCACTGTTAAATAACCTTAGGTTTCAGGCTAGAATGAAAGTCTCAGTGAAATCCCTTATCTTTCCTCAGGGATTTCTAGTTTTACGTCCTATTGTTCTATAGAAGAACTTCCCGAGAGACTGAACTTCCTCCAAAAAGGAAATGGTCAAGGAAATTATGGAGTATACTTACTATGGAATATTAAGCAGCCAGTTTTAAATTACATGGGAAAATATAATATTAAATGAAAAAAACTGGATAAAATTTGCTTATACAATGTAATCTCAACTACATTAAAAAGTACATTTTAAAAGACTGGAAAGACTACCAAAATGTTTTGATTTGTATGAAGAGGATTTAGGCTAATTGTTAAAAAAAATTTAAACAGAAGAGAAAATTATGGATGCACCATAACTCCTTTAACCAATTCTAAATGAGCGAGCTTTTTTTGTTTCCAATATTTGCAGTTATAAACAATGGTGAACGAACATGCCATGCACATATCTTTCCATATGTCTTTAACCATCTACTTAGAATAACTATTTAGAAGAAAGTTTTGGAGGTGAAGAAGCATAAAATTTTAAACTGTGAGAAATAGTGACTACCTGGAAAATCATACCAATTTATACACTCACCAGCAATGCATGAGGGTTCCATTTTATCCACCGCATTTTTATCAGTATTTAATTTTTGTCAGTATTTTTAATATTGACCCAAATAAAAGGCAAAAGAAATATCCTGTTTTTATTTGTGTATCTTTGATTTAAGGTTGAATATTTTTTCATATTGATTTGATGTTCTTTTCTAGCTTACCTGTTAATACCTGTTGCCTATTTTTCTACTGTGGTATTTATCTTATCTTCTTACTGATTTGTAAGTGGTTTTAGTGACCTTTTGTTCATCATAGTTATCCAAATTTGTTTCCCAGCTTGTCATTCATTTTCAACTTTGTTTATGGTGTTTTTTGATGTATAAATGGAAGTTAAATGGTATCTATGATTATCAGCCTTTTTTCAAGGCTGAAAAAAATGGAAAGGTATTTTTACATATATATATGTATCTATATATATTTTAAACAATTTTCTTAATGCATCTGAAGACTGTAGTACAGCACCCAAAATTGGGCACTCTGAAGAATAACAATTATAAATATGGAGCATCACTTTTGGACCTTCCTCAGTCTGTACACAACCTTATCTGGACTGTCCCAGACTGAATCAGGATGGGGTCGTCTGAAATTACACTGGAGGGCATTTTTTAGCCTCTCCTGCAGTTAATCCTTCTGTATAGGCAAAAAAGGGAGAGAGAGAGAGATGGTGTGTATGTCAACTTAAGTGTTTCTTTGTATTATACTTAGAACTAAGGTGTATGCATCCAAGGCCTCATTATCATCGAGGCCTCAAAAAGTCATGGTCCTTAAAGAAATACTATATAAAATCTGAATTTTTTCCTTCTTTCCTCCTTCCTTTGTCAAAAAGCCATCAGGCAGGCCTGAGCAAGATGGGAGGCCCAGTGTAAACGTGGGCTGCTGCTGGTCTTTTAGGGCCTCGGGAACAAAGCACCTGGGATCCAGCAGCAGCTAGGGCCCGTGTGAGGTCTGTTCAAGAGAGATGCAGGCCAGGGCTTCCCTGGTGGCGCAGCGGTTAAGAATCCGCCTGCCAATGCAGGGAACACGGGTTCAAGCCCTGGTCCGGGAAGACCCCACATGCCACAGAGCAACTAAGCCCGTGTGCCACAAATACTGAGCCTGCGCTCTAGAGCCCACAAGCCACAACTACTGAAGCCCACGTGCCTAGAGCCCGTGCTCTGCAACAAGAGAAGCCACCGCAATGAGAAGCCCACGCACCGCAACGAAGAGTAGCCCTTGCTCGCTGAAACTAGAGAAAGCGTGTGCATGGCAGCGAAGACCCAACGCAGCCAAAAATAAAATAAATAAATTTTTTAAAACAGAGAGAGAGACAAATTACTTCTCTAAAAAAAAAAAGAAAGAGAGAGATGCAGGCCAGAGCTAGGAAGGCAGCTCAGAGGTGGGTGAGGCCTGTGTGGGGAAGGCAGGCCCTGGTGGAGGAGGCAGCTTGGCAGAGTGGGAAGACTGCATACAGGGAATAAGCAAGTAAGTCAATATATTGGGACTAAATGGAGCTAGGTTCTCCACCCATATGAAAAGGAGAGAGAGCGAGTTCCCTGGCGGTCCAGTGGTTAGGACTCCACGCTTTCACTGCCGCAGGCATGGGTTCAGTTCCTGGTTAGGGAACTAAGATCCCGCAAGCTGCACAGTGCAGCCAAAAAAAAAACTGGAGAGAGAATAAACCTTGTGATGTTGGAACGGAACTGAAAGTATGGTATGAACTCATTTGATTTACAGTGATATAAAAGTAAATATAAAAGTATGTGTATGATACATATGGATGTATGTATATTCATCTCTCTATATTCCTAGCTCCGTCCACCAGAGGTCCTGGGAGAAGCAGTGAGCTCACCTAGCCCCCAGGTTTTGGTTTTTGACAATTCTCCACTAGAAAGAACCAGGGCTCCTTGAAGAAATGTCTGACTCCAGGGATAAGACAGGGAAAATACAAATGACCCTGAAACATCTTGTTGAATTAGAAAGTAAGGAAATGCTCAAAGAATGATGAGGGCAAGTCAAAAAGACATAGATACTAGCTTGAAGGGGCTCCCAGCCAAATCTGAGATAATCTGAGCATCAAAATAAATAATTATACTAATGGATTATAGCCCACTGAATAAAACAGAATTCTTGAATACACACTGATACAAATAAATTGGGAGGAAAGAAAGCTCTTCCTTACAGAAGAATGCCAAGTAAGAAATCTAGAAGGAATGAAGCAATTAGAAAATCACCATTTAGAAACCATCACAGTAATAATTCAGCAAAGAAACATCCATGGATCTAAAACTAGTAGATGAAAGTTGGTTGAGGAACAGGCTATTTACATAGTCTCAAAGTATTTCCCCCCAAATACTGAATAATTAGAAGGGAAAAAATAATTTTATAGCAAAGAAATCCGACAGGCACTTCCTTAATCAAGTACCCAAAATTAACATTGCCAGTAATGGGACAAATTGGCACTGTGACTGCATGACAGAACGCAGCCAGATGAACACAGCGTCTTTTGTGGGGCAGTCTTATTAACAAAGCCATAACTTGAATCTAATCACAAGGAAACATGAGTGAAAATCATGAGACATTCTACACCATAACTCATCTGTAATCTTCAAAAATGTCACAGTCATGATTTCAGGGAAAAAAATGAGAAAGTGGTCCAGATTGAACACTTAGGAGACATAACAACTAAAGGTAACATGTGACCTTAGAGTGGATATGTAAAAGCCGTTTGAGGCAACTGATTAAACATGAATGGAGCTGCTGGGCAGAGGGGAGTTGGGGGTCCTCTGTACAATTCTGGCAACCTTTCTATAAGTTTGAAATTATTGCAAAGTAACTTAAAAAAAAAACCTTTCTGTACCCTTTGGGTTTCATTTTCAAGGAAATCTGTGTGAGATGAGGGTAGAAGGATGCTAGATAGGAAGTTATAAGCAGAGACATCTATTCTTCATTGACATGGAGCCAATATAAGATGATTTTGCAAAAGAGGGACAACAGATTGGAGGTAAGAAAACTAAGTCTCAATTGCACTTCCTCAGTCAAGTCATTTTCCTTTGAGCTTCAGCAGGTTTAGTCAATGATCCCTAAAAAAAGAATAAATGGCATAGAAGAATAGCATCCATATCACCCCTGTAACCCAATCCTCAGTAAGCCTGCAGCATTCTGGGCTGCTCTGTTCCTTCTCCCAACCAACGGAGCCCTGCCAGCTGGACTGGATCAGGAGTCTTAGACAGCAGTTGCCCTAATGCCTGTCTGTTCTCCTTATGACTAGGTTTCCTGGGTTCCTGGGATTCTTCCCATACCCTAGGTAGGAAAAGGAATCCAGCCCGTCTGTCTAGGATCTGTCCTCAAGTACTCCACCATAAATAAGTGTTCCAGAGCCACACCTTGCCTATGATTCTCCTTTGCTTGACACTGAACTAAGATTACTGGCTAATGGCTCTGACTAGACCTTACCTTGAACATGGCATCAGTCTAGTGTCTCACTAGCCTTCCACTCCCTGGAGGAAAACCTTGATGAGCTACTTCTAGGTATATCTACATTAACTATACCTACATGATCCTGAAACATCAACAGCAATTTTACCTTTTTCTTTGCAAATGAGTATTTCTTCTTTGCACTGACATCTAACTCTGCTTTGATACTGCTACTGGGATTGATAAGACTTGTGTCTTTCAAATCCAGGTCTGAAAACCTTAAAACACAGGCCTCCAGGTCATCTCCTTGGTCTGGTGAAGTGGAAGAAGGCATCTGGTTTGGTTCCAGCAGTGAGGCAGACTCCTTTCAGTTAACTATCTCCTAGGAAGTAAGCAAGGGAAAAACAACAACGTCCAAGTCTTTGATTACTACTTGAAGTAAACTTGAAGCTAATCAATCATGCAAATGAGCATGGGTCCAAGTAGCTCAAGCTATCCATCCATTCATTTACTCGTTCATCCAAGAAATATTTATTTAGCACCAATTCTATGCCCAGCACTGTTCGAGGCCCTGGAGATATAGCAGTGAATGAAGCAGAAAAAGTCTCTGCCTTCTTAGACCTCACTTTCCAGTGGGGAGAGAGAGAAGGTAAACAAATGAATAAATTGTTTTTAAAAAATAGTCAGATGGTAAAAAGGGCTATGATGACAACTAAGCAAAGTAAGGAGACAGAGTCACCAACGGGTTCTTTAAAACTCAGAGGGTAGGTAAAGTCTTTCTGAGGCAGTAGCATTTCAGCAGAAACCTGAATTAGAGGGCAAGCCATGCAAACATTTAGGGGAAAAGATACCAAAAAAGCACCAGGTGCAACCAAAATCAACCAAGCTTCCTGTTAGTACCTTCAATTATAAATGTTTTGTTCTTTTTTGTCCCCTAATTTTTGAGCTGGGCAAATTCCCTTACTTAGAAGAAATAACTACCAAAAGAGCCTCATTTTAATGAGCCAGAAGAAATATACAAACTGCTACTGTGGCCAAATCTTGTCAAAATGGACACAGTACAACCAACATGGTGTTTTTTGGTAAAGCAAATGTTACAAGTGACAAATGTGAAGAACATGAAGACTGGGGAAAGCATGGGCTTTGGATTGTGTTGCAGCTGGGTGCAAGTGTGTGAACCTGGGCAGGATATTTAACTTTTCTGAGTTCTAATTCCCAAATGTGTGAAATAGAGATGACAGTATCTACCTTGCAGGACTATAGTGAGGACTGGAAAGGACTATGTAGCCTTTGACACATATGTAGTTCCCCTACCACTCTAGGCTCATCTAAGACAACACTCTCCCTCATGTATCCTATTCTGGCCATGCTGGACTTCGCCTAGTTCTGCAAACGAGCCCTGCTGTCTCTTGCCTCAGGGTCTCCACACATGCCTTTCACACCACCCCAAAATGACCTCCCCTCACTCTAAACCCTCTTTCAGTTCTCACTTTAACTTATTTATATATTCTTAATTATTATTTGTGGGGACTTTGCTATGTGCCTGACAGATAAAATAGTGATGCAGATGCAGGTCTTAATGAAACTGTTAAGGTCCTTGTTAACTTGGAGCTTATGTTATAGTAAGAGAAGAGACACTACGTAAACAAAAAAACATGAAAATATCAGTGATAAGAGCTACTGCTTCTCAGTTTTCTTTGTTGCGGATCCTCCTTATCATCTCAACCTCTAAATGTTCACTCACTCTAATTACACTCACCTTTGAGGTGATCTTCATCTAGTCCCAGGGACTTATAAACTATATTTACTTCAGAATAATTGGGCAAGGGGAGATAATATAGGTAAAAGTAGATGGGACATTAGTTGGTAATTGCTGAAGCTGGTTGATAAAGTCCATGGGGGTTCATTATATAAATTCCTCTACTTCTGTAAATGTTTGAAGCTTCCATGAAAAAATTAAAAATGGAAACAATCGTAAAGGAAATTTTATGTTTAAAACACTATACGCTAGATGACTCCAAATTTATATCTCCAGGCCAGGCCTCTCCCCTGAACTCCAAATTCATATAACCAATGTCTACTGGATGGCTTCAGCTGGAAGGCTAGGAGGCTGTTCAAATGCAACTGTTAAAACCAAACTCTTAACTTTCTCTTCCTCAGTCTTCCTTACCTCAGTAAACAATTCCATTCTTCCTGTTACTGAGGCAAAAAAACTTTGGGATTCTCATCTCCTTACTCTTTCAGACTATTGAAAAGCCTATCAATTCTGCTTTTGAAATACAATGACATCAGACCACACTGCACCACCTTCACTACCAACCTCATTCAAGCCATCATTTCTTGACTGAATTACTGCAGTTGCCTAACTGCCCTGCTCCTGTACAAGCCACAGAGGTAACTATTAAAAAATAAGTCAGATCGCCCTCCAAAGGCTTGCTAAATTGTACTCAGATAAAAGTCCAAAGTCCTTACAAAGCCCCTCCACCACCTCCCTAATATTATCTTCTCCCACTTTTGCTCACTACCTCTGATTGCACTGTTTGCTGGTTCCTGAATGGGTCATCAGCACTGAGAAAGCAGGAGTTTTCCTTTGTTCACCTCTGCATCCTCAGCGTCTAGAACACTGCCTGGCACACAATAAATATAACATATTTGTCAAATTAAATAAAGAGTGATTGGGTGGCCAGGGAAGCCTTCACCAAGGGCCTGATGTTTGAGCTGAGACCGAAATGACAAGGAGCCATCCATGCAGACTTAGGAGCAGAGATATTAAGACAAAGGAAATAATAAGTATAAATTCCTCAAGTGACTTACTGGAGGTACAGAAAGAAAGTCAGAGGGGTTGGAATACAGTGATGAGAGAGTAGAACCCTGTAGGAGAGGTTATGGAGTTTTTTTGCCACGGAAAGCTGTAAACAAAGGAATAACGTGATCTGCTTCTGGATCAGTTCGGAAAGTAGAGTCGGCAGGGTCTACCGATAGATTGTTCCGTAGGAACAATCCTACCTACATTTTTGGATTAAGCAATAGAATGGATGGTGCCATTTACTGAAATGGGTAAGACGGAAGGAGGAATAAGTTAGGCCAGGAGAGTGAGACATAAGTTCCATTTCAGACGTGTGAAATTTCAGATGGCCATGGACAAGGCAGTTGGATAAGCAGCTGTGGTGCTCATCAGAGATGTCAGGGCGGGAGATATTCACGTACACGTATGGAGATATCCAATAACTACTGAAGATATTACTAAAGCAATCACCCGTTCCTTCCTAAACAACTCGGAGGCGCGAGAGGTCAGATGACGGCCAGAGGGTAGCCCCGGAGTAGCAAGCTCACACTAGGGAGGGTCTTTCTGTCCCCGGGGCGGCTAGAGCGGCGCTGCCTCCCACCCGGGCCCCACCCCGCGCGCCGGGCCAGGCCCAATCTCTCCGCCCAGCTTTCCCAAGCCTGCAAAGGCCCGGAAGTGGGAGAAGGATGAGCACGTACCCGCCTGTCCTGATCCTTTCTTAAATCTTTCTTCACGGAAAGGTCTCCGCCTAGCAACTGTCACCGCTCACTGCCCTCGCATCTCCAGCCCCAGCCTGTGTTTAAGTAGGAAGGAACGCCGGGGACCTCACCTAACTCCGGAAGTCTAGGCCGTTAGCGAAAGGGCCGCCGGGAAAACCTCCGAGAGGCCCAGGCGTGGGAGGGTCTGAAGTGGAGGCGGGGACTAGAGCGTCCTTCCTAGACCATTGGCCGCCTGGCGTGGCTCGCGGCCGACGGGCTCGGGCTCGCCGAAAAGGCGGTGCTCTCCGCGTGGCCCCGGAAGGACTTCGAGGGAAGGCGGGCGAAGGAAGCAGGCGAGAGGCGGAGGTAGCCCGAGAGGGCGGTTGCGTGCGGAGCAGACGCCCGCGGCCTGGTGAGCTTCCAGACGCCGGCCCTCCCGGATCCAAGCCCGCAGAGCCACCAGGCCACCTCTCCCTCTTGTGCTTCCGGGAGCCGTCGCGAGCGAGTGCGCCTGCGCGACGGCCACTCCGCGCGCCTCACCGCTGTCCTCGCGCCGGCCGGCTGCCCGAAGGTTCCTGCCGAGCTTCCCGCCCGGCGTTTCGGCTCGGCGGCGCACCGGCGTGCGGCATGTCACGGCGACGGCACAGCGACGAGAACGATGGTGAGTGCCCTGGGCTTGGCCGCCGAGGCCGCGCCCAGGAGGGGTCGAGCTTTGGCTTCTTTGGTCTTCGGGTCTCGAGCGAAGGGATGGAAAGCCCTTCCCTCCGGGAGCGTTCGGGGAGCCGCGGAGAGAAGAGGGTGGTACAGCGAGAGTGTGGCCGGGCGACTTCTGAAAAGCCCCTGCTTCTCCCCACCCCGCCTCCTTCAGTCGTCGGCCGAGGAGCGGCCTGGTGGACCCCTGGTCTCTAAGGACTCTTCAAGATTTGGCCCTTAGCACCGCCGAGCAGGGAAGTACACCTGTGTCTTTGCCGCCGCCTCTTAGGGATAGTGACAGGGACCCACTCATCCCCGTGTCTCGTTTTGACCCTCAAACTGCACCTAAAAAGGGCTCTCAGAAGACGAGAGACCTGATGAATCGCAATCTGAGCTCTCTCCTGTACCGGTCATCCGTCGTTTTGCCTTTTTTCAAGCGGCAAGGAAAGAAATCGGTTTCTTATCCACACCCAAGAGGTCTCTAAAAAAAAAAGATGTACGTAGGTTGTTGTGTTAGATTTTGAACTGGCCGTAAGCATATTTCTCTCGTGTAAGAAAAAGTGCCGGAAGACTGGAGAGCTCGTAGAGATTTAGATCTAAATTCTCATCTCCATTTGCATGGTTGCGCTCATGGGGATCATGGAGTTGCCATCATAAAAACCAAGAATAATTTTGCTAGTTAAAAATAGAAAAGGTGCTTACATTACAAAAATCAGTCAAGCACACACATCCAAAAAAAGAAAAACTAACAGTAATTCTGTTATTAATATTGTAGGGTATTGTTCTTTGAAAAGAGTGTAGTGTAGTGGTTAAGAGGCCAGACTTTGGAATCAGAGGGCTTAAGTTCAAAGCTGGACCCTGCCATTTACTTTGTGATCTTGCCCAGGTTATATCACCTCTTTAAACCTTAGTCTGTAATATAGAAGTAATGATACATACCTCTCGGTTTTGTGAGGATTAAATGAGGTAACACATGTGACTAATTGCTCATGATGGTGTGTATTTTATCACCTGTTAATGCTTAAGAGGTGATAAACATTAGCAGATGTCGACAATGTAAGAAAAAGTACAGAAGAGAACATTTGAATTAATTTTCTCCAGTAACATTTTTCTCTCCTTGAATGTTGGGGCACTTTGGGGCAGGAGCAGAATCCCACTAATTTAGTTTTAACAGTGAAATATCAGATTTCTGCTAGGGCATGGCTTGAGAGGATATTCTAGTTCAGCCTTCTCATCTGACACTTAAGGGTCTAAAATTTTAGTGTAATTAACATGGAGACACGATTAGCAGTGCCCAGGCACCAGTGAAAGCAAGTCCAAGGTTCTTGTCACTACACAGGTATTACTACGCTGCATGCTTTGATTTTTTTTTTTTTTTTAAACACAGGAGGCTTCTTTGTATAATGTACATACAGGGCACAGAAAATAGTTTTCAGGTGCTTTGCCTTTGATTAATTAAAAACTTAATCACCTAGAAGTCATCACTTGGGGTTTGAAGAAGTTGAGACTTTTAAAGTTCTTCCCATTTTCTTTGCTCTTCTCATGCTCTCTCTACTCTTCTTCTTCTCTCTTCTAGGGCATCCCTAAAGGGAGAGAAAATGTTTCCAAGGGGCAGCCTGGAGAATTGGATGTGAATATGTAGAAAAACAACTTTGGCTTTGGTTATTGGGATGCTGGCATAACTTTCTTAGGAGTTAGCTTCTGGCAGCTAAATCACTGTCCATTCGGGTCTTGCTGCAGGAACCTCAGAATAAATATGTAAAGACAAAACAAAATAAGGAGTTAATTAACCAGAGTTTACTATGAATAATATAGTAGTCGAGGGGCAGTTTATAGTCCCTCTTAGATACTACACCAAGTCTGGAACTTTTGTAAATTGCAGAAGTTTGGGTAATGAACAGCTAGGGTTTATCCTAAACGGTGAGCTGAATCAAATATTTTAGATACTTTTCTTTTGGTTAAGCATCTAATTTTTTTAAAAATCAGAAATATTGGAAGCTTAAATACTGCAGAAAGCTATTTTAAAATAGGCTGAATTATTATTGTTGTATTAAATAGATGCATCTGAGCATTTCTGGATTATTGTCAGCTCTTATCAGTCACTGACTGCCATGGCTTGTCATACGGCTTGACTAGATATAATAATTTATTCAACAAATATTTAACAGTGCCAGGCACAGTTCTAACTACTGACAGTATAGCAGTGGACAATATAAAGATTCCCTTTTACAGGCAGACAACAATCAAGTAAATATAGTGTATCATATGGTGTTAAGTGCTATGGAGAAGAAGAAAACTGGATAAAGAAAGTAGAGGCTGCTGTCGGGGAGGAGTTGCCATTTTGTATTGGTTGGTCAGGGAAGGCCTCACTGAGAATCGCATCTGATTAAAGACCTGCAGGAGGTGAGGGGGCAAACCAGATGGCAGTGTGGGGGAAATGCAGTAGTCTAAGCAAATGGAGCCTGAAGTGCAAAGGCTTTAAGGCTAGAGTATTCCTATCATCCTGAAACAACAAGGAGGCCAGTGTTGCTGTAGCAGAGTGAGTGAGGGGGAGAGTTGTAGGAGATAAGATCGGAAGGGTAGCAGAGGATCAGCTCACAGAGGGCAATTTTAAAATTGTATCTCTGTGCTGAGACTAGAGTGTCCTTGATCCAAGGAGATAAGTTCCGGAAGCTATACCAATGAAGTTCACCTAGAGATGGATTTATAGACAAGGAAAGGAAAGTCCTAAATGGAAATTAATGTGTATGGATACTGGTCCAGTGCTAAATCTAATTCATTTCTTAGACTCTTTTTAAGAATGTCTCTGAAGCTTTTCAGTTATTTTGGATATGCATACAATAGATGTTCAATATATTGCTTTGTTCTTTTAAGAAAGTTTTTAGATTGTCCATAATCTTGGCCAAAACCCCATATTAGTCCCTTTTAAGCTACTTAGAATTAGGTCCTTACCTTTTAGGTGGTGACTGTTCTTTTACCTAACTATAGAAAATAAAACGAATAGAAGGGGCTTCCCTGGTGGTGCAGTGGTTGGGAATCCGCCTACCAATGCAGGGGACGCAGGTTCATGCCTCCGTACGGGAAGATCCCACATGCCGCGGAGCGGCTGGGCCTGTGAGCCATGGCCGCTGAGCCTGCGCGTGCGTCCGGAGCCTGTGCTCCGCAACGGGAGAGGCCACAACAGTGGGAGGCCCGCGTACCACAAAAAAACAAACAAACAAAACAAAACAAAACAAAAAACGAATAGAAGTGAAGGGATTTGTAATTCTGACAAAAAGTATAGTTTGTTTCAGAAGTGATGGTTACTTCTTTAAATCTGCAGGATCGAGGTGCTTGACTTTTCCCCTTTCCCTTGTTGTTTTTGTTACTTTCTCTTTAACAGAGTTGTTTTTTTTTTTTTTTTAAATCACTTTAGTCTTTATTATTATTTATTTATTTATTTATTTTCTTTTGCGGTACGCGGGCCTCTCACTCTTGTGGCCTCTCCCGTTGCGGAGCACAGGCCTATGGCTTACAGGCCCAGCCACTCCGCAGCATGTGGGATCTTCCCGGACGGGGCACGAACCCGTGTCCCCTGCATCGGCAGGCAGACTCTCAACCACTGCGCCACCAGGGAAGCCCCAGAGTTGGTTTTTGTTTTCACTTTGTGGTTCTAAAATTTTTTATAGTACATATAATTCTAAATAAGGATATAAGATGTGTAGTACAGTGTATGCATATAGAATAAGGATCACCTTACAGGCGAAAAATTATTTGGTGTATTAAGATTCTTTCTGATGGCTTTTTTGTTGCGTTTTTATTTGGCTGCATTGGATCTTAGTTGCTGAGCATGGGCTTTTTCTAGCTGCGGTGTGCGGGCTTCTCTCGTTGCAGAGCACAGGCTCTAGGCGCACAGGCTTCAGTAGTTGTGGCACAAGGGCTCAGTAGTTGTGGCTCGCGGGGTCTAGAGTGCAGGCTCAGTAATTGTGGCACACGGGCTTAGTTGCAATCTTCCCAGATCAGGGATCGAACCCATGTCCCCTACATTGGCAGGTGGATTCTTAACCACTGTGCCACCAGGGAAGTCCCTTTCTGATGGGTTTTAATAGAGACTTGCTTCTCTCTTCTAGCCAAGGGTGTCAGAACGAAGTGCTAATGTGTAGCTTTAATTTACATTGTAAAACTTCTACTTAGTTAACATGTTAATATAAAATCTGTTGTTGTTTTGGGAGCTACCTTAGATATGCTTTCTTGAGGGTAGGTGAAAACATTCAGCTCATTCCCAAAATTTTATTCTTCTTTAAAGTGCTTTATTCTACTTCCCCATGCTCTTGCCCACATTCTCTTGAGTTCAGTATCCTGTTACTGTGCATGAGTTCACATTGTGTCTGTACCTCCCCCTCCCATCCCTCTTTATATTCTCTCCAATATCAGGTGAGTGTGGGGCATCTCTTACTTCTTAATACTTTCTGCCTCTTCTCATTCTCCAAGCATAGTAAAAATGAGAAGAAGAAAAGAGTTACACTTTAGAGATAGGACTGTATACTGTATTTTCTAGTTTTTCTTCAGAAATCCTACCTTCTCTCCCCACAGCAGTATTTTCTTCTTTTCAGTCTTACAAGAGGGCCTAGGAGGGTTGCTTTAAAGACTGGGGTATAATTCTAAACTGATTTGAGAACAAGCCAGCTGGATGGTTAATTTAGAGAGGGTGTGGAGGTGGGATGTGGGATAAAGGGTTTTGGCATAGTAGATGGGCCAGAAAGAAAGGAACAATGGTTAAAGTTTAAAAAAAAAAAACCTGCTCTCATTCAGCTAGTTTTTTAGCATCTGCATTCTCCCAGCCTTACCAGAATCTGGTTCTGAAGAACATTTAGTATATTCTGCTTTCTAGAACAGAGTTTCTCAACATCAGCACTGTTGCCATTTTGGGCTGGATTATTCTTTGTTGTTGGGAGTTGTCCTGTGCAATGTGGTATGTTTAGTAGAATCTCTGGCCCCTGCCCACTGGATGACAGAGTTGTGACAACTAAAAATGTCTCCAGAGATTGCCAAGTGGCTCCTGGGGGACAAAAATCCAACCCAGTTGAGAACCACTGCTTTTGGAGAAGGCTATTTTAATGTCCTGGCTGATAGCTTATATAAACATCGCATCAAATATGTCATTTTTTTCAATGAATGAATCCTGGAAATAGAAGTCCTTTGTGTCGAACTTGGCTCTTGGGGTGGTGGAACCTTTATAGAGATCCTGTGACTTCAGTTTAATGTATATTTGAGAATCAAGGTCACTGATCCCACAATACCACACATGTCCACAACTTTACACGGATACATATCTCCAGGAATACATCACAGCTGTCATGCTGCATGTGTATTATATTTTTTATGGCATTATCCCTTCAAAACTATCCCTTCAAAATTCAGTGGTTATTTAAACCAGTTCCTAATGATAACTAAGGGGCTGGGTGGGGGGGGGGGGGTCAAAGCACACAGTGCTTTGCCCTGTGGCCTTTTATAATACTTTATTTGGCCCTATCTAGAAAGTAATAGATCGGTTTTATTCACCTTGAGTTCAGGTGGTAAGTACCTGAAGATCATTTCAGACATTGGAAAAATTTTTAACACCTCAAGCTTAGAATAGCCAAGTGCTGTGTTTTATGAAAATCATTGTATTTTTCAAGCCAAATGTTCCAGTGGCAAGTAAGTAATTATGAACTCTGTAAAAATGGTTCAGTTCCTTTGGCTGTACAAGTCTGGAGAAGATTAAAAATATAACTTGCTACTGAGTAATCCTATATCTGCAGATTTTCATTATTAATACAGATCTCCAACACAGTTACAAATTATTGCTTCCTTGTTCACATGCCATCCTAATAATCTAATTGGTGGAAGTTAAAAATTGAATTATACTGGGAGACTAGCCAACATTGTGTGCAGCAACAGCATCATGTTCAATATTTAACACCTTATTTGAAATTTTTTCAGCTTTATGTTAGTCCACAAAAGGATATAAGGTGGGTATGTTGAGGTTTTAAACAAAATATTGGTAGTAAGAGATCACTAACAGCAAGACTGAAAATACACAGTCCAGTGCTTAAGGATGATTTGTAGCACAGCTTCATTCAAATTGAATTCTTTAGCGACCAAAATGACAGAGAGAAGACTGCTAATGATTTCAGAATGGTAGTTTTTATTTGTTTGCACAACTCTGAATGACACTGTTTTTGAACATAATAGGATCACTAAAGTACGGAACCAAGAGCTGGTTAAAGCAGGAAACCATAAAACATACACCTTTTCCCCACCGATTGTTTGATATAGTACTCAGGACTTTTCTTTGAGTATGTCTGCTGATTGTAATTCTCATTGTTTGGGATGAACTAGACCCTAGTGCTGCAAGGTCTGTAGAAGCGAAACCGTTAGTTGAAGAGTTAAGAGCTCAGACATTTGTAAAAACTAGTGAGGAATCCTAATGTTTTATGCTCCCTTTCCCATCTTTTGAAGTTTTTCCTCTTCATACCTTTCTTTTTTAAAAACTTTTTTCCCCCCTAATCAAGTCTTTCCACAGCACTCAACTTGGTTTTTACACCCATATTTCATCAGTTTACATAATTTTCATTATTAAAATAATGAGTACTACTGGCACTGACAGGTTTCAGGAACAAGTGACTAAGGATGAATAAACAACTCAAGTTCAAAGAATGGGAGTAGCCATACATGAGTGTTACAGGGAGTCTTCTAACTGCTAGTGGTTAGCATGTTATGGGCACCTTTGCTGCCTATCCATAGAAATGGACAGGGCTGCTGCATTGCGTTGCTCCATGGGGGCACTATAATCACAAAATTTAACATAAATAATGCTTCCTGGAGTTATTATGGTGCCACTGGGTATGGAGACAGTTGGTTGATCTAGCCTTGTCTGAGAAGTGGAGGGTCAGTTAAGCACTTCTGTGTGTAAATAGTAGGGCTTCTGGTACAAAAGTGATTATAGCATTAAAAAAGTTAACGTTTTTGATAACAGATTCATCGTGTAATGTTCACTTTTTTACATTGTTGAAACAGGGGGACAGCCTCACAAAAGAAGAAAGACCTCTGATGCAAATGAAACTGAAGATCATTTGGAATCTTTAATATGCAAAGTAGGAGAAAAGGTATGATCAAAATAGGCAGAGACTGTGATGGGCTTAGGGTTGTAGTTAACTGTGCTTGATTAGTTTCTGCATCTGCAAGCTCGATGATCTAAGTTGTGGGCAAAGTTTGTATTGCCATATATCTATATCCCAAAGTAAATGCATATTAAAAGCCTTGGAATGCAGAGAGTTAAATGTTATTAGTAATTTTCATAGAATATGAGTCTTAGAAGGGACCTTAGGGAATAGTCCACTCAATTTAAAAATGAAGACCAGGGGCTTCCCTGGTGGCACAGTGGTTGGGAATCTGCCTGCCAATGCAGGGGACATGGGTTCGAGCCCTGGTCTGGGAAGATCCCACATGCCGTGGAGCAGCTGGGCCCGTGTGCCACAGCTACTTAGCCTGCCCTCTGGAGCCCGTGAGCCACAACTACTGAAGCCCGCGCACCTAGAGCCCATGCTCCGCAACAGGAGAGGCCACCATAATGAGAAGCCCGCACACCACGGCGAGGAGTAGTCCCCGCTGGCCATAACTAGAGGAAGCCTGTGCGCAGCAATGAAGACCCAATGCAGCCAAAAATAAATAAAATAAATAAATTAATTTAAAAAAATTTTTTTAATGTATTAAAAAAAAATGGAGACCGAGGAAGTTCTGGATAGGTGAGGTAATTTGCCCAGTCATACAGTTAAGTGAATTAGTTAGAGAAGTAGAATAGAGCCCAGAATGTCCTCCCATTTCTAATACTTGTTTTGCTGTCTTAGATTGCTTTTTTAACTTTATTTGTTCTCTTTTCATGGTTTTCTAAGGAATAGTAACAACCTGAATTTATTTATACTAAACTGTCAGTGCCTTATGTGTAACTTTTTTATCGTCACCTAGAAAATTTTAATGCACTAATTGCTGAGTACTTGACAGATATTTAATATGCTGTCCTCTACAGAGTGCCTGCTCTTTGGAGAGCAACCTAGAAGGCTTGGCTGGCGTTTTGGAAGCTGATCTTCCTAACTATAAGAGCAAGATCTTAAGGCTTCTTTGTACAGTGTATGTATACAAAAGATTTATGAATCCAGGTGATAATGTATTATCTACTCTTAAATGCTTGTGAATGTTCAGAAGATGTGTTTATGTTTCATATGTCATCTGCTTTCATTCTGTGGGGAATTTGTCAAATGAAATGACCTTTTGCCCTTTGGCGAACTCTTAGCGATAAATAGGATGAAAATTGAGCATTTTCTTTGTTTCGTTTCTTGTATCCTTAGAATCATTTGAGTTGACTACTTTTAAGTGAGAAAGTAGACAACTTCACATTCAGCGATTTTCTTTTAAGCACGTACAATTAAATATATATAATAGGGTTTAATTTATACTTTTAATCGGTAGTATCAAACATATTTGAGAACCAGTCACTCGAGTAACAATAGCCCTTCTTAGAAGGCTGAAGATACTTTTGAAGCTATGACATATAATAGGCATAATCTTTCTCTGAATTAGGTTAGCTAGAACGAGTATCAGCATTTAATTTGTAAGGACATTAGAATGGGAAAAGTCTTACATGAAATCATGAAACAGTCTCTCCCAACAGTGGAATTAGCAATCCAGACTTCCTCATCACTCAGGTGGACATTGGTCACTCTAAACTGTATGCTTTGCAAAGGAGTATCTATGACTTCTGGATAAAGGAGTCTTCATTATAAAGGTGCCTTAAAATGTTATTTCAGTTATTTTAAAATAATGGGTTTTTTAAATTGCTTACAGCTCAGTTTTGAAATTTAAAAATGTACACACAAATTGAAACTATCAGTGGATTTTACTTTAACATCTCATAAAGTACAAATAATTTCAGATACAATTTTTTTAAGGAATCTAGTTAATATTCAGGAAGACATGTCCTTAGACTAAGAAACTTAATACTAAGAAAAGTTATTTGGCTATAGTTATCCGTAGATTCCTTCTGTTCTGAAAGCATTTATTAGAATAGAGTAGATTTATGCTTAAACTCTGATGGAAGCCATGACTTTGAAGCAGGGGAGGGTTGAGGAGGAATGGTTACTATCAATGCAGTTATATTTTTTAAACCTAAATTGTCCCTAACACTCTTTGCTAGGAACGTTGGGAAAATGCAAAAAGTATAAGAGAATCTGAACAATCAGGAGTTCCCATTTGCTTTTCTTTTTTGAGCTGATTTCTAAAGGCTGCCTAAATTAGGGATCAACATTTGCTTTTTTCAAAGATTTATTACTATAATCCTCTTCTCTGCTTTTCAAATAACTTTAATGAAAATTAACACACTTGAGTAAGCAAACTGGATGTAAAGATATCTTACTCTATCAGAGTACCATGTTAAAAATTCAACAATTTAACTGATAGGAACTGGTTTTAGTTCTGAATTTTTTCTAAGCAACTAGAATAGTGTTTCTCAAAGTGAAATTCTGATCCCGTGACATTTGGTTGGCTAAGTTTAGAAATGTTGATTGCTCCATCTCCCCCTTAATGATTCTGCATTAAAGAACCTTGTTTCACTCAGCAATTGCCGGATATTTTACCATGGAAACCATTTTCTGTAGACCTGTTATTCAATTCCACTAAGCACATTGGAAGAAAAACTGGTCTAGTGTCAGTTATATCTATTTTAGTTTGATTTCACAATTAGAGTGTTTTACTTTCTTAACTCTTGGATTAACTAATTAGAATTAAAATGAAAAAATTGAGGGAGCCATGTCTGCAACTCTTCTCAATATTTTTGCCTTTTCTGACATTGTTTTAAAAACATAGCTAAATGTCATGCATTTCTAAAGTTAGTAAAACAATTTAAAATTTTTTATAGTATAAAATTCAGTAACTTAATGCTGTTGTTTTGGGATCTTCTTATTGTGCTGGGTTCTCAAATCAGTGCACGTCTGTTACCTGAGAAGTTGACAATTTATACAACATTAGTTGGACTACTAAATGCCAGGAATTACAACTTCGGTGGAGAATTTGTAGAAGCCATGATTCGTCAACTTAAAGAATCGTTGAAAGCAAACAATTATAATGAAGCTGTATATTTGGTAAGTTTTTTGTTTTTTTGGCTTTTGGGGAGCTTTTTGGTATGTTATGACTTAGTGTTGGGATGAAGGGGAGAGGTGAGCTACAACCAAATAATTCATCTTTTCTCTTGAAATACAGTTCCCCACTCACCACAACAGCTGCTCTTTTGAAACCATTCTTTTTTTTTTTTTATCTTTATTGGAGTATAATTGCTTCACAATACCGTGTTAGTTTCTGTTGCACAACAAAGCGAATCAGCCATATGCATACACATGTCCCCATATCCCCTCCCTCTTGAGCCTCCCTCCCATCCTCTGTATCCCACCCCTCTAGGTCATCGCAAAGCGCCGAACCCATCTCCCTATGCTATGTTGCTGCTTCCCACCAGCCAACTGTTTTACATTTGGTAGTGTATATATGTCGATGCTACTCTCACTTCGCCCACCCACCCCATGTCACCAAGTCCATTCTCTGTGTCTACCTCTTTATTCCTGCCCTGCAACTAGGTTCATCACTACCTTTTTTTTTTTTTTTTTTTATTCCATATATATGCGTTAGCATACGGTATTTGTTTTTCTCTTTCTGACTTACTTCACTCTGTATGACAGACTGGGTCCATCCACCTCACTACAAATAACTCAATTTCGTTTCCTTTTATGGCTGAGTAATATTCCACTGTATATATGTGCCACATCTTCTTTATCCATTAATCTGTCAATGGACACTTAGGTTGGTTCCATGTCCTGGCTATTGTAAATAGTGCTGCAGTAAACATTGTGGTGCATGTCTCTTTCTGAATTATGGTTTTCTCAGGGTATATGCTGAGCAATGGGATTGCTGGGTCATATGGTAGATCTATTTTTAGTTTTTTAAGGAACCTCCATACTGTTTTCCATAGTGGTTGTATCAATTTACATTCCCACCAACAGTGTAGAAGGGTTCCCTTTTCACCATACCTTTTCCAGCATTTATTGTTTCTAGCTTTTTTGATAATGGCCATTCTGACTGGCGTGAGGTGATACCTCATTGTAGTTTTGATTTGCATTTCTCTAATAATTAGTGATATTAAGCATCTTTTCATTTGCCTCTTGGCTATCTGTATGTCTTCCTTGGTGAAATGTCTATTTAGGTCTTCTGCCCAATTTTTAACCGGATTGTTTGTTTTTTTGATTGAGCTCCATGAGCTGTTTGTATATTTTGGAGATTAATCCTTTGTTTCATTTGCAAATATTTTCTCCCATTCTGAGGGTTGTCTTTTTGTCTTGTTTATGGTTTCCTTTGCTGTGCAAAAACTTTTAAGTTGATTAAATCCCATTTGTTTATTTTTGTTTTTATTTCTGTTACTCTAGGAGGTGGGTCAAAAAAGATCTTGCTGTGGTTTATGTCCGAGTGTTTTTCCTATGTTTTCCTCTAAAAGTTTTATAGTGTCTGGTCTTAACATTTAACTCTTTAATCCATTTGGAGTTTATTTTTGTGTATGGTGTTAGGTAGTGTTCTAATTTCATTCTTTTACATGTAGCTGTCCAGTTTTCCCAGCACCACTTATTGAAAAGGCTGTCTTTTCTCCATTGTATGTTCTTGCCTCCTTTGTCGTAAATTAGGTGCCCATATGTGCGTGGGTTTATCTCTGGGCATTCTGTCCTGTACCATTGATGTATATTTATGTTTCTGAGCCAGTACCATACTGTCTTGATTACTGTACCTTTGTGGTATGGTTTGAAGTCGGGGAGCCTGATTCCTGCAACTCCATTTTTCTTTCTCAAGATTGCTTTGGCTATTTGGGTCTTTTGTGTTTCCATACGAATTGTAAGATTTTTTGTTCTAATTCTGTGAAGAATACTGTTGGTAGTTTGATAGGGATTGCATTGAATCTGTAGATTGCTTTGGGTAGTATAGTCATTTTCACAATATTGATTCTTCCAAACCAAGAACATGGTATATTTCTCCATCTGTTTCTGTCATCTTTTATTTCTTTCGTCAGTGTTTTATAGTTTTGTGAGTACAAGTATTTTGCCTCCTTAGGCAGGTTTATTCCTGGGTATTTTGTTCTTTTTGTTGCAGTGGTAAACGGGAGTGTTTCCCTAATTTATCTTTTGATTTTTCATTGTTGGTGTATAGGAATGCCAAAGATTTCTGTGCATTGATTTTGTATCCTGCAACCTTACCAAATTCATTGATTAGTTTTCTGGTGGCATCTTTAGGATTTTCTATGTATAGTATCATGTCATCAGCAAACGGTGGCAGTTTTACTTCTTCTTTTCAAATTTGTATTCCTTTTATTTCTTTTTCTTCTCTGATTGTTGTGGCTAGGACTTCCAAAACTATGTTGAATAAGAGTGGCAAGAGTGGACATCCTTGTCTTGTTCCTGATCTTAGTGGAAATGCTTTCAGTTTTTCACCATTGAGTATGATGCTTGCTGTGGGTTTGTCATATATGGCCTTTTTTATGTTGAGGTAGGTTCCCTCTGTGCCCATTTTCTGGAGAGTTTTTATCATAAATGGGTGTAGAATTTTGTCAAAAGCTTTTTCTGCATCTACTGAGATGATCATATGGTTTTTATTCCTTAATTTGTTAATGTGGTGTATCACATTGATTGATTTGCGTATATTGAAGAATCCTTGCATCCCTGGGATAAATCCCACTTGATCATGGTGATCCTTTTAATGTGCTGTTGGATTCTGTTTGCTAGTATTTTGTTCAGGATTTTTGTATCTATGTTCATCAGTGATAATTGGTCTATAATTTTCTTTTTTTGTGATCTCTTTTTCTGGTTTTGGTATCGGTGATGGTGGCTTCGTAGAATGAATTTGGGAGTGATTCTCCCTCTGCAATGTTTTGGAAGAGTTTGAGAAGGATTGGTGTTAGCTCTTCTCTAAATGTTTGATAGAATTCGCCTGTGAAGCCATCTGGTTCTGGATTTTTGTTTGTTGGAAGATTTTTAATTATGGTTTCAATTTCATTACTTGTGATAGATCTATTTATATTTTCTACTTCTTCCTGGTTCAGTCTTGGAAAATTGTACCTTTCCAAGAGTTTGTCCATTTCTTCGTGGTTGTCCATTTTATTGACATATAGTTTTTTGTAGTAGTCTCTTATAATCCTTTGTATGTCTGCAGTGTCAGTTGTGATTTCTCCTTTTTCATTTCTAATTTTATTGATTTGCGTCCTCTCCCTTTTTTTCTTGATTAGTCTGGCTAAGGGTTTATCAACTTTGTTTATCTTCTCAAAGAACCAGCTTTTAGTTACATTGATTTTGGTATTGTTTTCTTCATTTCTATTTCATTTATTTCTGCTCTGATCTTTATGATTTCTTTCCTTCTGCTGACTTTGGGTTTTCTTTGTTCTTCTTTCTCTAGTTGTTTTAAGTGTAGAGTTAGATGTTTATTTGATATTTTTCTTGTTTCTTGAGGTGAGATTGAATTGCTATAAACTTCCCTCTTAGAACTGCTTTTGCTGCATCCCATAGGTTTTGGGTTGTCATGTTTTCGTTGTCATTTGTTTCTATGTATTTTTTTATTTCTTCTTTGATTTCTTCAGTGATCTCTTGGTTATTTAGTAGACCACTGTTTAGCCTCCATGTATTTGTGTTTTTTACAGTTTTTTTCCTGTAATTGATTTCCAGTCTCATAGTGCTGTGGTCAGAAAAGATGCTTGGTAGGATTTCAGTTTTCTTAAGTTTTCCGAGGCTTGATTTGTGAACCAAGATGTGATCTTTCCTGGAGAATGTTCCATGTGCATTTGAGAAGAAAGTGTATTCTGCCACTTTCGGGTGGAATGTTCTGTAAATATCAATTAGATTTATCTGGTCTATTGTGTCATTTAAAGCTTGTGTTTCCTTATTTTCTATTTGGATGATCTGTCCATTGGTCTAAGTGGGGTGTTTAAGTCCCCTACTATTATTGTGTTACTGTCGATTTCTCCTTTCATGGTGGTTAGCATTTGCCTTATGTATTGAGGTGCTCCTCTGTTGGGTACATAAACATTGATAATTGTTATATCATCTTCTTGGATTGATCCTTTGACCATTATGTAGTGGCCCTCCTTATCTGTTGTAGCAGTCTTTATTTTAAAGTCTATCTTATCTGATATGTGTATTGCTATTCCAGCTTTCTTTTGATTTCCATTTGCATGGAATATCTTTTTCGATCCCTTCACTTTCAGTCTGTATATGTCCCTAGGTCTGAAGTGGGTCTCTTGTAGACAGCATATATATGGGTCTTGTTTTTGTATCCATTCAGCCAGTCTGTGTCTTTTGGTTGGGGTGTTTAATCCATTTGCATTCAAGTTTATTGTCGATATGTATGTTCCTATTACCATTTTCTTAATGGTTTGGGGTTTGTTTTTGTGGGTCTTTTTCTTCTCTTGTGTTTCCCGCTTAGAGAAGTTTCTTTAGCATTTGTTGTAAGGCTGGTTTGGTGGTGCTGAATTCTCTTAACTTTTGTTTGTCTGAAAAGCTTTTGACTTCTCCATCAAATGTGAATGAGATCCTTGCTGGGTAGAGTAATCTTGGTTGTAGGTTTTTCTCTTTCATCAGTGTATCCTGCTACTCCCTTTTGGCCTGCAGAGTTTCCACTGAAAAATCAGCTGATAACCTTATGGGGATTCCTTTGTATGTTATTTTTTGTTTTTCCTTTGCTGCTCTTAATACTTTTTCTTTGAATTTAAATTTTGTTAGTGATTAATATGTGTCTTGGTGTGTTTTTCCTAGGGTTTATCCTGTATGGGACTCTCTGTGCTTCCTGGACTTGGGTGACTATTTCCTTTCCCATGTTAGGGAAGTCTTCCCCTGTAATCTCTTCAGATATTTTCTCAGACCCTTTCTTTTTCTCTTCTTCTGAGACCCCTATAATTTGAATGTTGGTGCATTTAGTGTTGTCCCAGAGGTCTCTGAGATGGTCTTCAATTCTTTTCATTCTTCTTTCTTTCTTCTGCTCCTCAGCAGTTATTGCCACTGTTTTATCTTCCAGCTTACTTATTCATTCTTCTGCCTCCGTTATTCTGTTATTGATTCCTTATAGTGTATTTTTCATTTCAGTTATTGTATTGTTCATCTCTGTTTGTTTGTTCTTTAGTTCTTCTAGATCTTTGTTAAACATTTTTTGTATTTGTTTTTTGGTATGTTATGACTTAGTGTTGGGATGAAGGGGAGAGGTGAGCTACAACCAAATAATTTATCTTTTCTCTTGAAATACAGTTCCCCACTCACCACAACAGCTGCTCTTTTGAAACCATTCTTTTTTTTAAAAAATAAATTTATTTATTTTATTTATTTATTTTTGGCTGCGTTGGGTCTTCGTTGCTGCACGTGGGCTCTCTCTAGTTGCAGTGAGCAGGGGCTACTCTTTGTTGTAGTGCATGGACTTATTGCGGTGGCTTCTCTTGTTGCGGACCACGGGATCTAGGTGCACAGGCTTCAGTAGTGTGGCTCACAGGCTCTAGAGCGCAGGCTCAGTAGTTGCGGTGCACGGGCTTAGTTGCTCGCGGCACGTGGGATCTTCCTGGACCTGGGATCGAACCCGTGTCTCCTGCATTGGCAGGTGGATTTTTAACCACTGCGCCAGCAGGGAAGTACCGAAACCATTCTTATTAAAGATACAGAGCTCATTACCGAGTCCAGTGGCTTCTGTTAACTCAATCCTAGTTGACCTCCCTGTAACATGGGATGCTTTACACTACTTGGTTTCTGCAGCACCACTCTTTTCAGGACCTCCTGCTGCCACCTACCTTCTATTCCTCAGTCTCCTTTTACTGGGTAACCTTCCTTTGCCCTTTAAATTTTTGTGTTTCCCAGGATTCTGTCCTCACTTCACTTTTTTCCAAACATTCTCTGCTGAAGCATTCTCATTCTCTTATAGCTTCATAAACTACCTTTATTTTGATGACCTTCCCCCCTACCAACTCTAATCTGTATCTCCTGCTTCAGCCATTCTCCTGAGCTCCAGACCTTTGGTCCAAATACTACCTGGATAGCCCTAAGGTATCTTGCCTGGAAGTCCCTGAATTAATGCATTCTTTATACCTCCTTTTCTGTACCCTCAGCCCAACCCACACAAGTGGTTGCTATTTACTGGATAGCCCGTCCAGAAACCTGAGCATTAATTTTTGTCTTGCCTTTGCCCTCTCATACCAGTCTCCAAGCCCTGTCTGTCCTACCTCCTAAATTTCTCTCCAGTCTGTCCCTTCTCCTTGTCTCCAGGGCCTCTAGTGTAGTTCATGCCTTCCTCGTAATGTCTTAACAGCTCTTAACAGCTCTTTTTGCATCCAGATTCTCTGCCTTTCACTTTATCTTCTGTAGTGGCACCAGAATGGTCTTCTGTAACTAGGCTCTGTTCATGTTGGTTACAGGTTAAAAACCTCAGTTCCTTCCCATTTTCTACAGTGGATAGTCTTCAAAGCCTGGTGCACAAGATGATGCAGGAAGTAAATATCAGAACTCTTACTTATCTTAACTGGAAATGGAATTAAGCCTTATTAATACATAACACATAGATTGACAGTGGGCCAACTTATATTTATATATAAGTAGATATTTATGTGTTGAGGTATGTGATCAAATTCTTTTCTACTGAGTACATAATCAAAAGAGTTTGGACACTCATCACGCTATTAAGTTCAGATTCCATTAAGTCTGATCCTTCATGGTTGCCCCAGTCTGTTTCTCTTTGCCTCCCATATACCCTCCAGCTCTATCTGAATTACTTGCTGGTCCCTGAACACACCTTGTTTTTGAACCTTTCTGCCTAGAACCCTCTCCTTGCTCTCCATGTGAGGACTACTTTTTTCATCCTTTATGATCTAGCCCAGTTGTTACCTCCTATATGATGTTTCCCCCTACTCCCTTTGTCCCTATTTCTAGAACACTTTATTTATCTTTTAGTATAGGATTTATCCATCTGGGTTGAGATTGTGCTTGTCCCACTAGTCTGTGAGCTCCCATGTGACAGAGACTTTAATAGTGCTCAGCAGTGGCACACAAAGGGCACCCAATAAATATCTGTTCATAAATTTCCATTTCTGTGGTCCAGCGAAAATTTTTTCACAGCCAAACAGAAAAGAAGATTATTGGTTGTAATAGCTAGAATATTACAGTTTAGGTTCTTAGTTTAGTATAAATGTAAAGCTATAAAGGCAGATTCCTGTCCTTCCTACAGTGTCTGTCACAACTACTCAGCTCTGCTGTTATAGCAGAAAAGCAGCCACAGACAATATGTAAACAAATAAGCATGGCCGTGTAAAAGTCGATTTGTGGACAATGAAATGTAATTTCATATAATTTGTATGAATCAAAATATTCTTTTGGGTTTTTTTCAAGCATTTAAATATTTAAAAACCATTCTTAGTTTGCAGGCTGCTTAAAAAACAGGCAGTGGGGGCTTCCCTGGTGGCGCAGTGGTTGAGAGTCCGCCTGCCGATGCAGGGGCCACGGGTTTGTGCCCCAGTCCGGATAGATCCCACATGCCGCGGAGTGGCTGGGCCCGTGAGCCATGGCCGCTGAGCCTGCACGTCTGGAGCCTGTGCTCCGCAATGGGAGAGGCCACAACAGTGAGAGGCCTGCATACCGCAAAAAAAACAAACAAACAAAAAACAAAACAGGCAGTGGGCTAGATTTGGTCCTTGGGCTGTAGTTTTTCAGAACTGTGGTTTCAAACATTACAGAATTGCTTGTTTTATAATTATTATAAAGGACATTTAGATTTCATAGAAATTGTTCTCCCCACCAGGTCCGTTTTTTATCTGATCTTGTGAATTGTCACGTCATTGCTGCCCCATCAATGGTTGCTATGTTTGAAAATTTTGTAAGTGTAACTCAGGAAGAAGATGTGCCTCAGGTAAGAAAACCCCTTGTGCTGAATCTCGTCCATATAGTACCAGGAATTTTTCACTGGTAACCCTTTAGTAGTAAAAACAGAAGATTAACAGTAGATTTATCACATTGTAAATTCTTAATGTCTAAAAGTTAAGTCAACTGGTATAATGGTGGGTTCTTTGTGACATCTGTACATTAGTTAAATGATTCTGTCTAGTAACATTAAAGCTAATATATCTAAAAATGCTCTAAATGAGCCAGATGTCTTTGTTAAGTCCTACTGAATTGCGTCCATAGGATTTCATTCAGGAATAAATATAATATGAATGAAAATTCACTAGCACCTATTTTAAATGTACCTTTTTAAAAAAATTCTTTAGGTGCGCCGGGATTGGTACGTGTATGCATTTCTATCATCTTTGCCCTGGGTTGGAAAGGAGTTGTACGAAAAGAAAGATGCAGAGATGGACCGAATCTTTGCCAACACTGAAAGCTATCTTAAGTAAGGGCACAGCAGCTTGGTAATGATTTTGTGTCCCCTTAAGTTTTTTCAGAAGAATTTTGTTATAAGTTTCATTTTCTATTAATAGGTAATTCTTTGGATATTGTTAATATCTACTTAGTTACAATAAAGCTAAAGGAAGTCTAAAGATAAAAATCTGCTTTCTCATTACACTAAGGTACCTTTAAATGATTTTTTAAATGTTTTATATTTTTCAAAAGTTGTACTGTTTTTTTAATACTATATAGATGTTTGCAAAAGAATGAAAATAAGAGTATGAATATGCTAACATTTGAATGTCATTTCCCCTTTTTATACAAATGATAGTCCAGTATACACATTGTTCTTCTATACACACTTGCTTTTTTTTCCCTCTTAATATAGTTTGGATTTGTTGCATAAGATATTTAGCTCTACCTCATTCCTTTTAACAGCTGTATGGTATTCCAGTCTTTTAATGTACTGTAATTCCTTTAACTAGTCTCCTGTTGGTAGACATTGAGGCTATTGCAAGTCTTTGGCTATTTTAAACAGTGTTTCAGTGAATATCCTTGTACATAAGTCTTTATGTGCATGTACAAATATGTTTTGGGGTGGCAGGTACAAATATGTTTTGGGATGATGTGAATTCTTAGAAATGGCATTGCTGGGTTGAAGTGTCTTTAACAATTTTAATTTTGATATTTAGTCAGATTGCCTTCCAAAGAGATTATACTCTTCCATATGTCGTCTAAAGAGATTATATCAGTTAGCCCTCTGCCAGTGATGTTTTTGAAACCGTGTATTTGCCTACATTTTGGCAATGCAATACATTATCAAAGATTCTAATATCTGCCAATCTGATAGGTTAAAATGTTTCACTCCCTTAATTTGCATTTTATTAATTATGAAAGCAACTGAATATCTTTTCATGTTTTAAGAACCTAAATGTAGATTTTCATTCTTACCTTTAGAAGACGCCAGAAGACTCATGTGCCCATGTTACAAGTATGGACTGCAGAGAAACCGCATCCACAAGAAGAGGTAAATTGATTTCAGTCTCTTGTGATACAAGCACAGAGTAGATTCTTATCTCTGTGACATATTCAAATCATCCCATTTGTATACCTCAGCTGGGTTTTCACATTTCATATCAGGAGTTCAGCTCCTCATAGCCCTAGGCATATAGTGGATTTTTAATAAATGTTAGAATGTCATCAAAACATTCCCTATTCTAGAGTTGATGTATTTTTTATTTAAGTGCCCAATTTGAAAAAATAAGAGGTATCAGCCCCAGACAGACTTTATAAAATAAGTAAAACAAAAACAGAAACTTCGCAGTATTCCTTAGTACTGTATTTAATTGTAAGTTAGCTTGCTTTTGTATCCTGTATTTTAGAAGGCAGTAGATTTTTGGTTTTGTCTAGTCAAAATGTTATTTCATCTAGCCTCCAAATATCTATTAATTGTTAAAAATTAATCTGTCTTTAGTATTTAGATTGCCTCTGGGCCCAGATTCAGAAATTGAAAAAGGATCGCTGGCAGGAGCGGCACATCCTAAGACCTTATCTTGCCTTTGACAGCATCCTGTGTGAAGCACTGCAGCACAACCTGCCTCCTTTCACACCACCTCCTCACACTGAAGATTCGGTGTACCCGATGCCAAGGGTCATCTTCAGAATGTTTGATTACACGGATGATCCTGAGGTACATGCATGACCAACAAAAGTGCCTTTCAAAGCGCCTGTGTTGTGTTGTAATTGTGGTTTAATCTTGTTTGAATTATGCCTATGGGACATTTTAATTTTGAGTTGTTTATTATCTAAGAGGGTCATTGGCAGCGAAGTTAACAGTTTAATTCAGTGAATGGTATCACCTCATTATTCAAGAAATCATATTTAGGCAGTGTAAATTGACAGCACGGTGTACAATTGAAGAGTGTAGGTTTGAGAGGCCAAGTAGGTTTGGATTTTAATCCTGGCTTAGTCATAGCCCAGCTGTGTGCTCTTGAGTGAGTTATTTACCTCCCTACCTTAGTTTCCTAATGGAATAATAACAGTATATATCTCATAAAGTTGTAATGAGGATTAAATTATTAACACGCATAAAGTGCATAGAACAGTATGTGGCACGTGATGAGTGCTCAATAAAGTGTTTTTAATTTAAAAATCCCAATGATTAGTATAAGCTGACTTTATAGTTCTTAAATATATGTATTTTTTATTATGAGGTCAGGTTGTTGATAGCTGTTATACTTTAGCAATTAAGAAAATGTATAATTTTGATATTAACATTTGATATAAAAATTTACATTTTAACTGTGCTTTAGTTACTTTATACCTTTGCATTTGAGTGATTGTTTTTTTTGGGTTTTTTAAAAATTTATTTTTGGCAACGTTGGGTCTTCGTTGCTGCGCACAGGCTTTCTCTAGTTGCAGTGAGCGGGGTCTACTCTTCCTTGCAGTGTGCGGGCTTCTCATTGCAGTGGCTTCTCTTGTTGTGGAGCACAGGCTCTGGGCACACGGGCTTCAGTAGTTGTGGCACATGGGCTCAGTAGTTGTGGTTCACGGGCTTAGTTGCTCTACGGCATGTGGGATCTTCCTGGACCAGGGCTTGAACCCGTGTCCTCTGCATTGGCAGGCGGATTCTTAACCACTGTACCACCAGGGAAGCCCATGACTGTCTTAACTTTAATACCCAGGCAGCAAGCACAGTGATCACTGGGCTGGTTCTGAAAAGAAACTCGCCTGGCTAAAGTACTATCGATACCTGTTGCTTAGTACATTCCAGTCAGCATAGAGCAGAGTTTCTCAGCCTCAGCACAATTGATGCTTTGGGCTGGATAATCCTTTGTTGTGGGGCTGTCCTGTGAATTGTAGGATGCTTAGGAGCATCCCTGGCCTCTACCTTCTAGGTGCCAGTAGCATGTCAGTTGTGACAACCAAAAATGTCTCCAGAGATTGGCAGATGTCCCCTTAGGGGCAAAATTTCCCCCAGTTGAGAACCACTGGCATAAGAACCAATGTTACCACCTTAGGTCAAACTTGAGTTTTCTTTCCCTGTCTTCTCTCTTCTATGGAAAGTTGCTTATGACCAGGGAAATTTTAGTGTATGTATACTCTATCTCAGGGTAACAAGTTGTTGGATAATTGGTTATATATACAAAATTATCAACTTGCTACCCACTTGCAATATTGCATATATAATGCTTTTAGTTAACTTTATGTAATGGTCTAATTAGAGTATATATAATTGGAAGTCTAATTTACAGTAAGACTGTTAGAATCTTTGTGATTAGGTATTTAGGGGAACATTAGAATGGCACCTCAAAATTTGCTTTTCCTGTACTATTTGTACTTAATTGGTGTTGCCTCTGTAATGTGCCCATCATCCTTTGCCAGAAGAGCATAAATATGCAAAATATCTGTTTGAAGAGGATTTGGTTTTTTTGTTCTGGGCTTTCAAAAAATGTTTTGTTTTGTTTTTAATTAGAAATGATAAAGTAGATTAAAGTAAAAGTCACCATTAAGTAGTAAGTAATAAGTAAATAAACTCATTGAACCTGTTTGCTATGCATATTTTTTTAATTAAACAATATCATGTAGATAATGTTCTTCAACCTTTTTTAAAACAGCGTAGTGTGGATATCTTTCAGTGCATACATGATTTTTTTATGTCTACATAGTGTTCGAGACAAAATTTTCCCTCTCTCCACGTTTTCTATGGAAGTAATCCAGTCCCATGGTTTCAAAAAATAAACTGTAATGGCCACGGCGGGTGAGAGCGAGCCGCGGCTGCCGCCCGGGCCCCAGGGTGATCTCGGGGGCCTGGGGCCCCGTGCGGCCGGCTCGGTAGCTTTTCCCTCCTGCCCCCCCCGCACGCGGAGTCCTTCCTCCCCTGACGGGGTCTCCAGCTTAACCCAGACCAGAGGAGGCTTTTCTTTGGGTGGGGGACACGAAAGTGCATTGAGAATTTCTCAACTCGGGAAGCAGAAGTGCTGCTCCTAGGTTTTACAGGGAGTAAGGGGGGAACAGTGAGTTCATGGATATTGAGTGATGATAATAGCTAACCTTTTTCCAAGCCCTCGCTGTGTGCCAGGCACTGTGCAGAGCAACTTGTGTGTCTCTTCTTTACTCCCGAAATGCCCCAATGAGGTTAAATTGACCAAAGCAATGGTTATGGAGAAGCCTAGTCCCCTGCTGGTCGGGCAGGAATTTGTGAGACAGTATTACACACTGTTGAACCAGGCCTCAGACATGCTACACAGATTTTGTGGAAAGAACTCTTCTTATGTCCATGGGGGTTGGATTCAAATGGAAAGCCAGCAGATGCGGTCTATGGACAGAAAGAAATCCATAGGAAAGTGATGTCACAAAATTTCACCAATTGCCACACTAAGATCCGTCATGTCGATGCTCATGCCACCCTGAATGATGGTGTGGTGGTCCAGGTGATGGGCTTGTTCTCTAATAACCACCAGGCTTTGAGGAGATTCATGCAGACCTTTGTCCTTGCTCCTGAGGGCTCTGTTGCAAATAAGTTCTATGTTCATAATGATATCTTCAGATAACCAAGATGAGGTCTTTGGTGGCTTTGTCACTGAGCCTCAGGAAGAATCTGAAGAAGAAGTAGAGGAACCTGAAGAAAGACAGCAGACACCTGAGGTGGTACCTGATGATTCTGGAACTTTCTATGATCAAACTGTTAGCAATGACTTAGAAGAACATTTAGAAGAACTTGTTGCTGAACCAGAGCCTGATCCTGAACCAGAGCCAGAGCAAGAACCTGTGTCTGAAGTCCAAGAGGAAAAGTCGGAGCCAGTATTGGAAGAAACTGTTCCTGAGGATGCTCAGAAGAGTTCTCCAGCGCCTGCAGACATAGCCAGACAGTGCAGGAGGACTTGAGAACCTTTTCTTGGGCATCTGTGACCAGTAAGAACCTTCCACCCAGTGGAGCTGTTCCAGTTACTGGGATACCACCTCATGTTGTTAAAGTACCAGCTTCACAGCCTCGTCCAGAGTCTAAGCCTGAATCTCACATTCCACCGCAGAGGCCTCAGAGGGATCAAAGGGTGCGAGAACAGCGAATAAATGTTCCTCCCCAGAGGGGACCTTGACCAGTCTGTGAGGCTGGTGAGCAAGGTGACGTTGAACCCCGAAGAATCGTGAGACACCCTGACAGTCACCAACTCTTTATCGGCAACCTGCCTCATAAGGTGGACAAACCAGAGCTTAAAGATTTTTTTCAAAATTATGGGAATGTGGTGGAGCTGCGTATTAACAGTGGTGGGAAATTACCTAATTTTGGGTTCATTGTGTTTGATGATTCTGAATCTGTTCAGAAGGTGCTTAACAACAGGCCCATCATGTTCAGAGGTGAGGTCCATCTGAATGTGGAAGAAAAGAAGACTCAAGCTGCCCGGGAAGGGGATCACCGAGATTACTGCTTTCGGGGACCTGGAGGCCCTCGAGGTGGGCTGGGTGGTGGGGTGAGAGGCCCACCCCGTGGAGGCATGGTGCAGAAACCAGGATTTGGAGTGGGAACGGGCATTGCTCCAAGGCAGTGAATTGCTCTTCACCGATCTTCAGGCAGCAGTACAAACCCTAGCTCCCACAGAATGGTGATTTCTTCAGCCAACCTTTGGTATCTTGGAATCTGATCCTAGTCTATGATAAACTGCTTAAGTTTGTACAGTTCTACTTTTTGTGTTACTGGTGTGTGCTCCTTCCCCTCTCACCCCCCCCCCCACCTTTTAGTCCTTCACTTCCAGTTTTGTGGAATGATATTTTAGGAAAAATGGATTTTTAAAGAAGAAAAAAAAAAAGACTGCATTTCCTTGCTTTATTTGCATATACAGACTGGATTTTTTTTTTAACAGTTTCCCCAAAGGATTGTCTTGCTTATTACTGACATTTGGTATGTTTCATTCATTGGAATATTTTTTACTTATTTTCTACATTTTTCAAAAGCCTGTGAGAATTACAGGATTTGATAAACATTTTGAAGGCAGGAAGAACCCAAACTGTCTCTTCTTTGAGAGTCATGACTACCTTCTGCTGTGGAAAAATTGCCGTTGGAAAAATTGACAATTTAGATTCTCTCTGGTATGGTTAAAAACTGAATAAAAGGTGTTAGTAGAGTTTTTCTTTGGATACGTGGTTGCAAAACAGTTCCAAAACCTGTTTTTACCATTGAAATTTAAACTGTAAGATAGGTTTTAAATGTCTAGAATGCAACTGATAAGCTTTTCTTGAACTGTTAGATTTTTTTTTTGAAGTAGAGTTTTTTCATGTTTAATTTGTATTTGTAAAAAAAAAAAACCAAAAAGACCCCAAAAATTTTCAAAAATCTGAATAACACAAAACCGGAGCAAAACTGTTGTGCCTTCTATTTATCTTTGATTCCAGTCTTGGCAATTGTTTAAAGAAAAATAATAATAAAAAAAATAAACTTAGATTTGTTCTATTTAAAAAAATAAATAAAAATAAACTGTATAGGACTAATAATATACAAAAATTACTTAGTTTGCTTCATTTAAGACTTGAAGTGGGCAAGGATAGTACAGTGTCAGATGCAGTAGAAAAAACACTATAGCTGACATTCTAATTCTCTTGTAGACATAAGTGAACAAATTTGCTGAAATACAGAGCTTTCACACTTGTGAACTTTTATCCCCAGCATCCAATACAGTGTCTGGAACATAATAAGCTCTGATATATTTGTTGAATAAATGAAAAATAATATTTTGTCTAGGTCTGGAGTATATGTATTTGGTTTTCTTTCCAGGGTCCTGTAATGCCAGGGAGTCATTCAGTGGAAAGATTTGTGATAGAAGAGAATCTTCACTGCATCGTTAAGTCCCACTGGAAGGAAAGGAAGACTTGGTAAGATGCTTTTCATGGTACTTTTAGTAGAGTGGAGAAAAAGTAGCAATCTTGATGATTTAGTAAGAGCAAATGTACGTTAAGAGTAAGAAAATCTTCCTCTCTTCCTGATGCCCTGTCTTGCTAAGACCGATCTCTAGCTTTCTGGAGGCACTTCACCCTCAAATAGTACTTTCCTGGATGCTGTATAGTACTGTAGTGCTTTATAGTAATATGCATATGATGCCTGCTCTTTTGTATGGATATTTGCCATGTGCTCTGGACAACTTAACTTGAATGGCAAGCTGTTTTTGGTATGAATGTTGTGGGAATAAATGAATACTAATGGTTTTGCTGTTTCCTAGCAGTTAGACATCAAGCTTTGGAAAAGTTTATTTTTAATATTTTCTGAAACCTTGGAAAGTTTTGGTTTAGATCTTAAAATGGAAAGGAATATAGTATTTTGGGAATGGTCTACCTTATAAAACATTTTACTTTAGTAGATCTGAATATACTTCCTTACTATTATTACTTATATGCCTTTTTTTTTTTTTTTTGCGGTACGAGGGCCTCTCACTGTTGTGGCCTCTCCAGTTGCGGAGCACAGGCTCCAGACGCGCAGGCTCAGCGGCCATGGCTCTCGGGCCCAGCCGCTCCTCAGCATGTGGGATCTTCCCAGATGGGGGCACGAACCCGTGTCCCCTGCATCGGCAGGCGGACTCTCAACCACTGCGCCACCAGGGAAGCCCACTTACACTCCTTTTGATCTTCTAAGGAGTTTTGCATGCATTAAAGAGTTTCCTTATGGTAGACAAAATAATCTGTGCTGTAGTTAAGTAACTGAAATCTAGAACATTTCAGAAAAAGATTTCCTTTATATCTACATACACTGTTTTTGAAACTGCTTATTTAGTTTTTCATATATCTGTGTATACTCATTAAACTTAAATTACACTTTTTATATAGTGCTGCACAGCTAGTGAGTTATCCTGGGAAGAACAAGATCCCCTTGAACTACCACATAGTTGAGGTATGCATTCCAAGTGGAGCTTGTTTTTAAGTTTCAGAATCTTTCTGTTGACTGTAAAGTGTAATCTACCCTTGGCCTTTTTGTTGTTCTTGCTACTTGGCAGGTGCTGAAAATTAATAGAGAAGAGAGGAAATTGCTTTCAATTTTGGAGCTCTGTTAGCCATGTTAGTAAAGAGAAAAGAGGAGGTTAAGCCCAGTGTACAAATGGAATTTTGAGTTGCCTATAATTTATTTATATATTGATAGTATATCTTCATTCATGAATAGTTATCATGGATAATGTAAGTTACCTCTAACTCTTATCAATACATTGTCCACTTAACAGATGTATAAGAGGCTTAAATATTTTAAAATACTGTATTCTTTAGGCAGATAACCCATCTTTAACTGTGTTTATCTGGCCTCTTATTACTAGCATACCCCTGACTAGTGTATTATTTCCTGTATCACAGGGTAGGGATAAGTAGGAATCCTTATTTATTCTTAGAAATCAAAAGAGCCAGTTGTTTTGGAAGTGGAAAAAAATAGATAATGCTTTTGATTCCATATGAAGTCATACAGAAGGATGATACTAGTAGCGTAGTTGAACACCTTGTAGAGATTTATTTCCCAAAAAACAGTGTTTTCACTTGACCCAAACTGTCAATTGCATTATTCATTTATGTTAAAATACTCAAAGTGAGCATAATTATGTATCATTTGATTCACTTTTTATTCATACTATACCTATGTACTTCCTTAGAAATGCTGCATCTGTTCTCTTTATAGAACTTGAGAGTGTGGTTAGGCTATGAACTTGACTCAGTGACATGTCAGTTGAAATGCAAAACATAAGTCATATTTTTAAATGTGCAAAATGTGTAGAAATTCATACAAAAGTATGGGAGATGGGAGTGAGAAGAAGGAATGCAGACCAGGCTCTAGAAGTCGAGATAGATGGTCCACACATTATATAAGGAGGAAGGAAACAAGTTTGTGAACGAGAGCATGGCAAAAAAGTCTTGGAATACCAAGAATATAGTAACAGTGTAGAATGAGTTAATAAATATCTTCTGTTCCCATCCTCCGAGTCTACAAAGGACTTTTACTTCTTATAGGAATGAAACTCTGGTGGATCTGTGAGTCCCCAGTAAACTGTACCTCCCTGAATTAACTCTGATACTTCCAGAGTTGAAATTGGACAGTTCTCTGGAAGTATCAACTAAGCATTAATTTTTGCATATCCTTATTTGATTGAGTTATAGAGATAAGAAATCTTCATTACAGTATTCAATTGTAGATCTTTGTGTTTTAAAGAGCATAATTTTAAAGGTTAAAAAGTAATTTTTTTTTATTATGAATACCATAGAGTTAGACTTTAGAACATTGAGGTGTTTCTAATAGTGGAAGTGTGTAGATAGCTGTTGAATTGAGTTCTGACTTGTAATTCCTTTGTAGGTGATCTTTGCAGAGCTGTTTCAACTTCCAGCACCCCCTCACATTGATGTGATGTACACAACACTTCTCATTGAACTGTGTAAACTTCAGCCTGGCTCTCTACCCCAAGTTGTATCCTTTCCTTTGTTTTTAATGTACTCTCTTTGGCCTGACTTTAAGAGATTATTAAATATTTCTGCTTGTGGGTTTAAATCACTTCATGAAAACAGTTTGGCATTTCTTTAAAAGTTAAACATTACGTGTACTATACAATCCAGCCATTTTGCTCTGGAGTATTTACCCAAGAGAATAAATGTTCATAACTTTATTTGTAATAACCCAAAACTGGAAACAATCCAAATATCCATCAACAGAATGGATAAGCAAATTTTGTTACAGCTATACAGTGGAATACTACTCAGTAATAAAAAAAAAAGGACAAATTTTCAATGCAGGCAGCAACATGAATGAATTGCAAAATAATTATATTGAATAAAAGGTGCCAAACAAATATGAATTCACACTATATGATACCATTTACACAAAATCCTAGAAAATGCAAAGTAATATAGTGACAGCAGACCAATATTTGCTTGGGGGCATAAATGAGGGGCAAAAGGGAGAATGGATTACAAAAGAGCATGGGGAACTTTTGGAGATGATGTAAATGCTCATTATCTCGATTTCATGGGTGTATACAGATCAAATGTACATCACTGATACCTCAAAGATCAGTAACTTGAAACAAAGCTCAGCATTATTAGTCATTATATAGACTTCTAAGAAATGTTATTTATTTTTTCTACCACAGCTTATTTTCAAGGAGAGTATAGTTTTCCTTATCCTGAAATTCACAGCTTGCACAGGCAACTGAAATGTTATACATGCGTTTGGACACGATGAATACTACATGCGTAGACAGGTATAGTAATTGCCTTATTTCTGTACTGAGTGTTAGCAGCTTCTTCTCCCTGTACTTTATAAAAGAATTTGATAAGGAAAACAATCACCTTTTTAAGAATTTCCAAGTTGGTTTTTCTTTCTTGCCTCCCACAAATAATCCTTTATATAATAAAACTTGTAATTGTTATAACATTACACTTTCTAGTTTAATTTTCAACATGAAATGATGCCCATACTGAGGTTTTCTTTAATTGCATTGTTTAGTTCTTTGGTATGGTTACACTTTTCCCTCTGTAATTGGGTAGGTAAGCTTTTAAAATAGGTTTTATGCTAACCCATATGTAGAAGCAGAGTCTCATACTGTATATTTATGTTTATATAATATGTAATTTTGTTTATGAATAGTATCTGCTTCTAAAATAATTAGCTACTATGTAACTACAGCTCCAAGACTCAGTTTATACAAAAGGCCATATTGGATTTTTATAGCTGTGGTAATTTCATGCCTGTTGTCATCTTCTGGGTGAGGTCTATTATGTACTACCTTTATTAGCTGGTGTTCTCTCTTCTGTCAGTTTTCCAAAGTAGATCAGGACAGATATTGAACATTTCCATAATCTGTCATGTCTGCTGTTCAAATGCGATATTTGAAAATTATCAGTAAAGGCTATCCTGTGTTGTTGACCTATTATCTTGAGTAATTGTAATGACTGAAATTATAGATACATGAGGGATGTGCTTTAAGAAGGTGTCTGCTGAGGTTTTTTTCCCAGTCTAATTAATAAACCATCAGTTGTGCTGGGCATCCCTATTATGCCATTCATTCAGCAAGTGTTCATTGGGCTCTTAAAAATTTCACAGTGTTATACAGTCTACTAAGGTGATCCCTATCTAGTCAGAGAGATCAGATGTGTTTTTAAGAGAAAAGGGGGCTTTGATGGTATATTTTGTTGTTTGTGGTGAAAGGGTGTGGTATGATGATGAGAGACTACTTTGGCTCGTCCGTTTATAAAACGTTTTTAATCTTTTTTATTTTTGCACCTCACACCTCTGTTTCGTTGTCAGTTAAATGGGGAAAATAATACATTCCTCAGAAGTTATTGTGAGAATTAAATTATATAAACATATATAAGGTACTTGATATAAAACAGGCACTTGAATCATATCAATTATTCACTTAAAAAGGATAGCACTGTTAGGAGTGAGATGGGGGACTGCTACTTTTTGAAGTAGAAGGTGAGTTACAGGATTTGCACAGAAAAGGGTAACTGGTAGGAGAAAATACAGCTGTAGGTAGGGGGAAATCGGGTTTTGTCTGAAGGATTATGTAAGTTCCTGTTATAAATTGCAACCATTCATCCTTTTCTGTCCCCCCACCCCACTTCTCTGTATAGGTTTATTAATTGGTTTTCCCATCATCTAAGTAACTTCCAGTTCCGTTGGAGCTGGGAAGATTGGTAAGCAGTGTTATGTATATTATATCTTTCTTCTCTCTACAGTCTGCCATTTTTTTTAAAAAGTTAATATTTAAAACTATAATATAAAAGCAATCTTCTTCACAGTCTGAAAGATTTAGGGTTTTTTTTGTATGTATATAAATGTAATAATTTAGGTAGAAGGGAACTATTTGTAGCTAAGTACAAGTTAGGTATAGCTGCAGATCATGTGTAAGAACTTACAAAACTATATTTCCTCATTAGGTCAGATTGTCTTACTCAAGATCCAGAAAGTCCCAAACCAAAGTTTGTAAGAGAAGTTCTAGAAAAATGTATGAGGTAAGTTCTTTGTGTTTTCTCCTTGGCTTAGGTCTTCTAATTTCTGTGGGGGTATTTTTCCCATCTCTGCATTTGTGATGTATGTCTAGAATATTATTTTTTAAATCCAAGTACCTACCTCTCTTCCCTTTCAGTTTGTAATCAAGATTTAGGCTGAAAAACTTGGGCAACCATGCCATCTGGATTCTATGTGAATTAAGCCAATAAGGTTTTTTTGTCAAATAGACTTTGAAATAATTTCAGATTTCAGGAAAATTGCCAAAATAGAGCTCTGTATAGTGTTCATCTAGATTCCCTAGTTAACATTTTACTACATTTGTTCTAATGTCCTAGTCCTTTTTCCCTCTCTGTGTATGTAATCTACCCTTTATATTGGTCTTTTTCTGAACCCTTTGAAAACAAGTTGCAGATATGATGTCCAAGCATCCTTTAATGGTCGGTTGTATATTTCCTCAAAACAAAAACACTCCCCTACATGACCAGCATACAGCTCTCCAAATCAGGAAATGAGCTCTGATACAGTAATACCACTATACGATCCACAGATGCTGCTGAAATTTTGCTAACCATCCCAACAATGTCTTTTCCCTTTCTGGTCCAGAATTCTTGGATAGAACGTGTGTAGCATTTGGTTGTCATTTTCTTCAGTCAATCTTTTTTTTTTTTGGCAGTACGCGGGCCTCTCACTGTTGTGGCCTCTCCCATTGCGGGGCACAGGCTCCAGACACGCAGGCTCAGTGGCCATGGCTCACGGGCCCAGCCACTCCGCGGCATATGGGATCTTCCCAGACCAGGGCACGAACCCATGTCCCCTGCATCGGCAGGCGGACTCTCAACCACTGCGCCACCAGGGAAGCCCTCTTCAGTCAATCTTGAACAGCTGTTATTATCTTTCATGTCCTTGTCAGTTTTAAAGAATGTAGGCCTTACTTTGTTGTGTTGCCTTGATGGCGCCCTCATGACTCAAGTCTTGCATTGTCCCACCACTAGAGATGTTAACCTTGATTACATGGCCATGTCAGGCTTCTCTAACTTAAATTCACCATTTTTTCCCTTTGTAGTTGATTAATATTTTGTGGGAAATACTCTGAGGTTACGTCCTGTTCTTTATCAGACCTCCACTGACAACTTGTACTTTTATCTGTCACCACTGTGGTAATTGCCAAGTGATGATTCTCTTTGTCTATTATTTTTTCTACATTTATTAGTTGGCATTCTACTGTAAGAAAGAGCTTTCCTTTTTCACCCATTTATTAATTCCTGTGTTTATATATCAGTAGGGACTATTTCATTCAGTGGGTTCTAATTCATTACTGTCTTTATTAATTATGATGCTCAGATTGTCCCTGATTTGTCCATTGGGAGTCCCTTGTGGCTCCTGTGTCCATTTTTTTTCTTCTTTAATGTCCCCCTCCATTCATTGAGCATTTCCTTATTTCTGGCACAAGATATTCCAGGCTTATCTTGTGTTTCCTTGCCCCTTTCCTGGAATCATCTATTTATTCAAGGAGTCCGAGTTTCTTTTAGTGGAGCATGGCACTTAGGAAGCAAGGTCTGGACACTTGATGTGCTTGTTACTATTGGGGTGTCATTGGTTCTAGGCCCTCTGGATGGACAAGGGTAGTGAATATATTTCTACACACACACACACATCTGTAACTATTTTTATATCCACTTAGATGTGTGTATCCCTCCAATTCCAACCAAACACCTCATTTTTTTCCTAGCCTTCCCCTTTGCCATGATTTGTAAATACCTTTGCAGGCATTAAGAAACCTGGTTCCCATTAGCCTCAATAAGTATTTATTTGCTGCAATATAACCCAACCAAGTCTCCCAACCATACAAACGGTTTCCTCTACCTCATCCCACCCCACCATCACCACCCCACATACCTGGCCTCCAGGCTTGTGGACCCAGTGGCCCACACCTAGTGCAAACCAGTAAGTTTTGAAGAAGGCCTGAGTTCTCGTGCTGGCCTAGACAACAGTTTAAAAGACTTGTTGTCCTCTTTTATTTCTTGGTTGTCAGCTGAGTTGGGGTGTTGGAGATTGTGACCTTCTGGGTAAGTTGGATGTTACTGAAGAATGGAACTGATGAATGATATTTTCTGAGGCTCTTATTTGTATTGTAGGTTGTCTTACCATCAGCGTATATTAGATATTGTCCCTCCTACCTTCTCAGCTCTATGTCCTGCAAACCCAACCTGCATTTACAAGTATGGAGATGAAAGTAGCAGTAAGTAATAAAACAAATCCTGTTTTTAAAAGGTACTAATGCAAGTATTCTCTTAAGTCGGTTATCTAAGGTGGAGAAAGTGAACTTTTTCTCTTCTTGGGTTTATATTTTCTGTTTGAAAGGTGATTTCTCACTAACCTCTATTGTTTTATTTGCTATCATTTTGAAGGTTTATTATGATTTACTTAGTTATTACTGGCTTGTTACTTTTTTCTTTTAATATTGTTTATAATGTTATATCCATGACATTATTTTAAATGTTGCTAAGTATAGCAAGATGAATTTATAGCCAGAACTTAATAGAATGAAAATACGTTTGTCATGGCAATGGAGATTACTCGAACTGATTAATATCTGGTAACAGTTCAGGTGCACATAGACTGTATTTTGACCAGCCGTATGCCGCTAGAAGTAAATTCTTGAACATGCTTTTCTTACTTTTTGGTCACATCATTTCTGAGGTTGCACTATAAATCGAGGGGGGGGCTATATAATTTGATATGCCATTTTGTGCTTTACACTTAATGAAGGTAAGGTTGTACATTGGTGAGCACTGGTAGAGAGTTAGGTGTTGAGTTTCCAAGTTAGTCTTTTCACATGGCACTGAACACAGCTCCTCCATGAGCCTTCCAGTTCGTGTTGTGTAGCAGTTCTTTGCATCTTGAAACTCACTCCTCTCCCTTGCCTTCTCATATTGTACCCCTGGTTCTCCACCTGCACCTCAGACTACACCTGTTTTCCTTGAAATAAACTCAGTTGGTTCCAATGCTAAGTACATTTCCTATGTTACAATGTCACGTATTCCTTAAAACAACTCTGAGAAATAGGTATGTTTATTTTACAAATTTTACAATGAGGAAATGGCTTCAAAGAGCCAGAGTGAGATTGCTTTGAGTGGTAAAGCCCAGAGTCAGATACTGAGCAGCCCTGCTCTTGACCACTGTCTTTTCCTGAAAAAGCAAAGCTTGATGTGGTACTTGTAAGTGCCAAGTTTTGATTTCTGCTTTGTACTGGCTCAGAGAACCATAAGGTACAGTCTTTGATATCAAAGAGTTCAGACTTTTGTTGAACACTGAGCTTTCTTTTTTTCCATAGAAATAGCCTAACACTTAAGGCCCTCTTGTCATTCCTACTTTATGATTTGTCAGTTCTTCTCAAACTAACCTCCACTCCAGCCAGGCCCACTTCCTTTTTTATTTCTTCTATGCTTTCTTGCGTTTGCCTTTGTGCCATTATCCCATTCTAGAAAGCCCTTTCTCTTCTGATTCCTGTTCTCTTTCCAGGGTCTAGCCCAAGCTCCAGTCTTTTAAATATTTTTTAACGCAAGCCAGTTTTGTGTTGCTCTCTGGCTACTTCTTATGTGAATATCTTGGTTTTCCACCTAGAATGTAGACGTCACAGTGGCAGAGGATTCTGTTTTTCTTCACGTATTTTCTCTCCCACTTTCAAGAAGAGCACACAGCACATGTGACCTGTTGTAATTGACTTTATTCATTCCAAGTGCTTAGTAACTCATATTCTACGTCAGAATTTTTTGTTACCTCTTTGTCTACCTTACATTAAAAGTAGTTGTTCTGGTGACGCCATACAGTATATCAGTATATACTAGTACTATATAATACAGTAAGGACTCAACAGGTATTAACCACCAGTAAACATGTGGAGTCAAAGCACATGAGCATCTGGCTTACACATATTCAAGTGTGTGGACTCAGCAGAAGAGAAAAGCAAAAAATCTGTCTTAAGTTGGCAGCCTTCACGTTGTTCAAACCCAAATTTAGTTTCCACTGTCTTAGGGAAAGGGAGGAGGAAGGGTACATTGACCAAAATCAAAGAGAATACATTGATTCTCAGCTTACGGAGGCCTAGGGATTTGAGGACTGTCAAAGGACAGCTGCAGCTGTGTCCCCTCACCCTCATCCCTGAAGAAGATCAGTACCCCTCATACTCTGAATTTCAGTTAGCTCCGTGTTAAGGAAGTATCGGGGCAAGAATTACCTCTTATGCTTTATTTTAGGTGAAAAAACCATTGCCCTATTAAATGAAACTTTCACATGTGGTTATCTTTATACAGAATATTGATCTTAGGAGAAAGAGTACTCTATTTTAAAAGAAAATAATTTTTTTTTAAGGTTTCTCAGTTATTTAACTAATTGCAACAATAGTCTTAAAACCTGGTCTACTCTCCTCCCCATTCTGTGCTTAGACTCTCTTCCTGGACATTCGGTTGCCCTCTGTTTAGCTGTTGCCTTTAAAAGTAAAGCAACCAATGATGAAATCTTCAGCATTCTGAAAGACGTACCAAATCCTAACCAGGATGACGATGATGGTAAGGGAATTAAATATTTCTTGAATGGAACTCTGTATGGGCCATGCTAAAAGTATAAACATAATTTTCTTAAATCTCATGGGATACTCATAAAGCAATATATTTGTTTGGCCTGTCCAGCCTGACCATTGTTCCCAGAACCCAGCTATCTTCTCCCTTAAACATTCCCTCTTTTCACTTTAGAGAGTTTCCTGCCCAGAAAGACTTGGTATATTATAAAGTTGGATTTTCTCTCCAAATTAACTATAAGTTTATCATCAACAGATAAGACAAAAAGAATGAGAGGGACTTGCTTTATGTCGTATTAAAACATCTTGAAAATTACAATAACTAAAACAAAAAAATCAGTAAAAGAGATGAAAAGTCTACTGGGACAACTAGGTTAACCATTTGTTGGGGGGCAGATTTTGTTGTTAGATGTGTTACATAATGACATGCACAGAAAAATGACACAGTCAAAACATTAATGGTGTTTGGGTTATTTATTATTGGGATTTTGTTTGTTTAGATTTTTTTAAGAAACTTGTATTATGATGTTAGAGAAAATGTATTTAGAAAGTATAGTTCAAAATGTTAAATTTAGACATTCTCAAACAGGACATAGACCTAACTGTTAAGGGCTTACTGTATTTTTTTCTTTTACTATATTTATTATCTTGCCACCATGTAGAGAGATAAGAACAAGGAAATCTATGTGGTATTTGTAAAAAGAAATGGATCATATAGAAGAATTAGGGAAACAATCCCAAAAAATTAAGAATTAAGATTATGCTTAGTTTTATATTTTGAGTATTTGAAATCAGTGATAGTCTTTTATCATCTATTAGTACTCAAAGACATTTGCTTGAATGTCTCACTTGGTATTTGGATGTGAGTGTGCCATCTGTTTAGCGATTCAGGCAAGGGACCAAAAAATTGCTATACTTAAAACATTTTCCTAACTCTCTTACTGTGGGCTATTTTTCAGATGAAGGATTCAGCTTTAACCCATTGAAAATAGAGGTCTTTGTACAGACTCTGCTACACTTAGCAGCCAAGTCATTCAGCCACTCCTTCAGTGCTCTTGCAAAGTAAGTACAACAAGAACACACGTGCTGTCTTGAGGGTTCAGGACTTTGTTTGGTGAACACCAATGGCATCCTGATTTTTACCTAAAATTATTGACTGTGAAGATCTTAATAACAGTATTATCATATAATTTGATACAATGGGTTTTGGTTTGTGGTAGCTAAAATCCCCATCCTATGGCTCCTGTCAGTCTGTTAGCACAGTTTGCATGTATATATATTCAATAGAATGTACATTTTTTCATATAAACCTTTAGAGAAACAAGTGAAAAACCTGAGTCCATAGGACAGTCATATATACAGTCAAGAAGTTGCCACCTTGGGACTTCCCTGATGGCACAGTGGTTAAGAATCCACCTACCAATGCAGGAGATGCAGGTTCGATCCCTGGTCTGGGAAGATCCCACATGCCACAGAGCAACTAAGCCCATGTGCCACAGCTACTGAGCCCACATGCCTAGAGCCCATGTTCCACAACAAGAGAAGCCACCACAATGAGAAGCCCACTCGCTACAACTAGAGAAAGCACACACACAGCAACACAGCCATCCATCCATCCATACATCAATAAATAAATAAATAAATTTATTTATTTAAAAAAAAAAGTTGCCACCTTGTCTAAGCATCTTCCTAAAAAAAGGTTAGCAGAATTGAGAGCCAGCTACATTTTTAGGAGCCACCCAAAGGTTGGCATCTAAAGACAGAACTTTCTAACTCGTCCTATGACTTGCAGGATTCTCACAGAAGGCACAGTCAGAATACTGCACCTGTGTTAGTTCCTTAGCCCTCATCTATTCTTAGATACACAGTAAACTATAGTCCTAGGCTAATGATAGTATAATTTTCCTAAGATTTTATGACAAATTCCATACAAACTGAAATCCTAATCATACCTTTTATATCCTTAATGGTTAACGTTTGGTTATTTTGCATTTATATATTGCGCTGTAAACTGAGTAGCACTGTAAAGGCTTTGAAAATATTAAAATGTTTAATAAGTTTGTATGTGGTGTTTTTCCCCCCACTGTCAAAAGGTTTCATGAAGTCTTCAAAACCCTAGCTGAAAGTGATGAAGGAAAATTACATGTTCTAAGAGTCATGTTTGAGGTCTGGCGGAACCATCCACAGGTAAAAACTATTTAAGACATATTGAGGTGCTGATTGTACAGGTATAAAAATAAGGCAGTTAATACCATCGTTTTAGTTTGCAGAACATGAAATTTGACTCTTGCCTATAGAACAGTTTTTAAATCTGTAATTTTAGTGCTATGAAAAAGTAATGATGTTTGAGTTATTCTTTAAAGAGCAATTGTTATGATTTGGTTTGGTATTGTAATATCTCAGCTCATTTTAAGTACTTAATAAGAATGCTTATTTCTTGGAAGGTTCTCCAGTTGGGTAGGAAAGAATAGTCTAGCCAGTTTCTAAAAAACAAGCTCCAGATTTGTCAAATCTCGATACACTATTATCATACCATGTATTATAAAGAGGCATTAAAATAAATTTCAGAGTTATATTAAGACTTTTGTGATAAAACTACCTTGTATTTCTAAATTTTAAGATTCGATGGAAATTATGTATTTTGTATATATCATCTAAAATTTAAAGAAACATTGTTAAGTGTTAATATTCAGAGTTTTTCTTTTTGCTCAATCTTTGTGTTCTTGTATTCTTACAATAAGTACCAGAGCCAAGCAGAAGGCAAAATAAATCTTAAGACCTAATGGTTAAATTGTTCAGTTCCATAGCCACTGAAAATGAACTTCAGTTTTGCAGCAGGGGGATTATCGTGGCCTACATATAAGTGTGATTTACCCTAATAATTTATTTTCTCTGATTGTAGATGATTGCTGTACTAGTAGATAAGATGATTCGTACACAGATTGTTGACTGTGCTGCAGTAGCAAATTGGATCTTCTCTTCAGAACTATCTCGTGACTTTACTAGGTAATACGGATTATTTTACAAAGTTCCTGTTCTCTAAGAATTAGTTTATATGTGGTCCCTTATACATGAGCTCCAAATTCTGGTCCAAACCAGGTTGATATTAATATAATGGCCCAATCTGGTAGGATTGGACTTGGCAAAGATTCTTGCACAATGGAAATCCACACAGCCAGTCCGGCTGCAGTGTCTCTTAGGGATATACGTAAGTTGAATTAGGACTCAGCCAATCAGGAGAAATGCTTATAAATGATCCAGACTATTGGGAGGGAAGATCAGGCTGTATGGCAGGGTCTCAACTAGACAATGGGACATGGGCAGGAGTTCCAGCTCCACTGGGGACCTGAAATGCACCCCCGGAACTGGTAGAAATCACAGTCCGTCATAGATTACACATCATGGAGGGACTGAGGAAAGCCTGGTGGGCACCTGAATGCCTCTGGGGAAGGGAGGTCTCACCTGTCATAAAAGTCCTTGATTTAATACACAGAAGATTCATTCTAGACTCATTCCTCCTAAAGGAAAGAGGCTTTTCATTAAGTTTGGTTCTTATACATGATGTTGAGTCCATAGGCTTTATAACTGATCAGGACTGGGACAGCAAGAGCTGACACAAAACAGGAAACAAAGGAAAATTACTTGCAAAGACATAAATATCCATCACAACCTTTTATCCTGTTCATTGTATGTTATTGGCAGAGGACACTAGTCTGAGATAAACTGAATCCTTAGGGTGAAAGAATGTGGTCTGAGGTTATCATACCAGCCAAGTAGGTACTCACAAATGAAGGCAACGTCAGACCATTCTCAGATTTGCAAAATCTCAGAAAACTGACAACTCAAGTAGGTGTTAGCCATTATCCTGAATGATTTACATCTGCAACTCTAACTCTGCAAAGCCTTCCCTGACCACCCCTTCCAGAGTTAAAGTACTGTGCTCTTTTATCCTATCTGCTAACATTCTAGACCTTGAGTTTTATGAAATGATTGGTTTATTATCTTCCACTTCAACTGTCATTGTCCAGATCAAAATCTGTAGAAAGAAGTACTCTTCTGTGCTGTATATCCTGGGGTTAGGAGACCAAATGTATAGACATACAAGCAGTTAAGAAGCTACTTAAAAAGCACATGCATATTTATGCAACAAACATTTAAAGCACTTATAGGTGATCCTGGTATTTGAGCAAGTAGTTGACATAAATATCTCATTCTTAAAAGCCTAGCAGTCGATAGCTATGATCAACTAATGAGATTCTTAAATGTGTCAAGAGAATTGGCTGAGTTTGTGCTAGTTAAATATCAACAGTATAAACCATGCAAATGAGCCTCAGATTGTTTCCATTTCAAGCTGCAATACTTAGTGTTTACATTTAGAAGAGAGAAAATGTATTTTTGTTCCTAACCTGTTTTTTCTGGTTTGCCATTTCATTGAATATATACACATACCTTCTATGTGTGTCTAGTAGGGGATGGAAATAAGAAAAATGACAAGGACCCAATATTGCCTTCAGGAAGCTCACCTGAGTAATGGGTGGAGCTAGATGTTTGTACAGTTGACAATACAAGAAAAATCATAATGTTGCTGGAGAGATATGCCTTATTCTGTCTGCCTAAAGAACAGAAGGCTAGGGCTTCCCTGGTGGCGCAGTGGTTGAGAGTCCGCCTGCCGATGCAGGGGACACGGGTTTGTGCCCCGGTCCGGGAAGATCCCACATGCCGTGGAGCGGCTGGGCCCATGAGCCATGGCCGCTGAGCCTGTGCTCCGCAACAGGGAGAGGCCATAACAGTAAGAGGCCCGCGTACCGAAAAAAAAAAAAAAAAAAAAAAAAAACAGAAGGCTATATAAAACCTCAAGAATGAGTAGGTTATAAAAGTTGAGAGGTCTTATTTTCTGAGTAGAGTTTAACATATAGTAATCAAATGCCTTATTACTTTAAGATTGTTTGTTTGGGAAATCTTGCACTCCACAATTCGTAAGATGAACAAACACGTTCTTAAGATCCAAAAGGAGCTAGAAGAGGCTAAAGAAAAACTCGCAAGGCAACATAAACGGGTAAGTCTTGTGTTGATTGTAAATGGTCAAAGAAAATATACCAGAAACTTTTGCGAATATTCATTACCTTGATGGGAACTTATTTTTTCGAGACCAAATCATGCAGAGCTGTTTGTAGAAGTGGAGGAAGGGACGGACCTGGGGTCTGCTGTTCTCTCGTTCTGCACGGTGAACCTGTTTAGGAAGCCACAAACCTCACTTCTCCATAGTTCACCATCTCTGGATCAGTTTCATGTTTGCCTTCCCAAAAAGGGAGGAGAAGGAAGGAGGACACTTGTGTTTCTATAAGAGTTTCTGATGCAAGAGGGGAAGAGGGAGAAGATTGTCTGTGTTCACCACTCCCCCGGTAAGGTTGGGGGTAGTGGGGGGGGGGGTCACTCCCAGGCCTATAAGATACTTCTCATACTTCTCATATTAATAAGAAGTTAAGTATTTTAGCTATTTGGCAGAAACAGTGAGTTGGCTGTATCCTGTGATTTAGCAAACAGTGCTGGTATTGTTCATGACAGAATTTTCCAGTTATGCACATTTATCAGAGTAGAGGGTAGAAGCAAGTTTAATGATTTATATGAACTAGAGCAGGTTCGAGTGCTAGTCTCCATCTAGACATTCATATATACCTGAGTGTATGTAAACACACAGATCTAAAATACTGTAAGGTAAATGGTATCATCCCCATTTTATACATGTACAAACTCCAGAGACTTGACTTCACACCACTCTGGTCTCTAGATATGTGGTGTCCAATATGGTGACCACCAGCCACATGTAACTAGTTATAAGCTAATTAAATCTGAATACAATTTAAAAGTCAGTTCTTCAGTCACACCACGTTTCAAGTGCTCAGGTGTCATGCGTGGCTGGTGGCTATTGTGAGGGCAGCGCAGATCTACGGTGATGAAAGTGTTGTGATGAGAGGCTCCCAAGACCCTAACCCTGTATTTCCCCTAGGAGCAGCAGTTCAGTGTTCACAAACTCAGGATTCCCAGCAATTTCATAAAACAGACTATGGTGAATAACAAAAATCAGCTGTATATTTTCCTTGGAGCTCAAAGCTGTTTTCATTTTGAATGGAGGAAAAATGTGACACGTATTTCCTCTTTGAGTGGGCTGTCTTATAAAAGGCATAACTTACTTCTGCTTTATAGCAAATCTACCACGATTGCCCAAGTGCCACTGAATTTCCCTGGCCTAGATAAGAGGTACTCATAGGACTTGGGACATTTTGCCTGTATGTTTGGGACACTGGAGTACTTTTACTATAGAATACAAGTCTTCAAATAGCATTTGACCAGACATAATAAAAATCCTTAGATTTGCTTGATGTGATTTAATACACTGCAATCCTAAATGGTGTTTTCCCTTTGTTCCTTTGCATTCGGTAGCGAAGTGATGATGATGACAGAAGCAGTGACAGGAAAGATGGGGCTCTTGAGGAACAAATAGAAAGACTGCAGGAGAAAGTGGAATCTGCTCAGAGTGAACAAAAGAATCTCTTCCTTGTCATATTTCAGGTATCTTGGCTTGGGACACTGATATGTTCAAAGAAACAGTACATTTCTTTAGTTTTAAAAAATGTTTTTATCACAGAAGTAATACATATTCATTTATAAGATCTTAAATATATAAAAGTTTCTAAGGGAAAAATAAAAGTAATTCTGTTATTTACTTAATGAGCATTCTTGCATGAGCATTTCTCCTTGCTTTAAAAAAAATGGATACTACTGTTAAATACCTCTTTCATATTTAATTATTCCCAATTGTTGATCTATTTATTGATTGTTTTCCTTCCTGAAGATTTTTGTGTATACACTTCTGTTAACATTTCTGATTATGTCCTTAGAACAGGTTCTAAGAAAAATTACTAGCATAAGTTAATCTAGACATTAAAGGTCTTTGGGTATTGCCGAAAACGATGTACTAACTCATTATCACTGCTTTTCTACACTGACAGTATTTATTGAATTATGAAAGTTATGAATACACACCACAAAGGGTGAAACAAGCAATACCTTTGAGGTCTCTTGGTCAAAAATTTGATTGTTTCCGAAGTATAAGAATTTTTTCTGACACCTCTGGAACTTTGTACCCCATTTCCAGCGTTTTATCATGATCTTGACTGAGCACTTGGTACGATGTGAAACTGACGGGACCAGTGTATTAACACCGTGGTATAAGAACTGTATAGAGAGGCTCCAGCAGATCTTCCTACAGGTTTGTGGAAAACTGATTATATAATAAACATCATTATTCCCAGCCACAGGGATTTTCCATTTCAAAAAGTCATCAAATCTCTCAGGAGGTTATGTAGTACCTGTAAGCCCCTTAGTGTCCATTTGTTCCTACTGCTGCTCATCACAATATTTAGGCTTAAATTGGCTCTGTATCATTCAGACTCCTAATTGCCATTCTCTTTGGAGAGCCTAGCTGTAATACAACATATAGAGAAAAAAATGCTAAGGGAAGAGTAATCAGATTTTAAGAATCTCTGTAAATTCAATGTGCAGATGATAACCTTGTTTCTGGAGGCACTATTTAAGTTCTCTGAGGTCCTTATAGAAAGCAAAATGCAACACCTACTCTCTGCTAGATTTAAAGATCTGTAAGGAAAAAAAAAGAAAAGAAAAAAGATCTATAAGAGAGTGAAACTAATCCTTTGTATCTTCAGATACTAACACCCCAAATCCTCATTTGTTTGTTCTAGAAAAGAGTGATTAAAGCAGAAGGCATAAAAGGGGGGGGGGGAGTGCTTTAAGGCTCCAAACAAAAATTTATTCTAGATTTTTTAGTTACTGTCAAATTAAAACGCTTTAACAGCCCCTAGTTAGTCCTATAGGAATCTGAGTATATTAAAGTTTATATTTGTACACATAGAAGAAACTATTTTCTGACATTTTTTTTCCCAGTTAGGCTCAACAAGTCACTGATTTTCAGTAAGACAGATGACCTCTTTATTTTTAAAAGATTAATTAAAAAAAATGAGGTTTTCCTATTTTGTGGAATACTTCACAGATCACTGGCTAATATCACTGGCTAATTCTCTTAATATTTTTTTCTTTTGCAAAGAGATACGTTAAAGCCCTAACCAAAAAAAGGAAATGATTCCAAATTTTTATGTTTCAGGGACCATGGTTAAAACCATGGTTACTTAGTAACAGTGCTATTCTTATTTGTAATGTATACCACCTCCCCCTCAACACCCCCTTTTTTTTTTTTAAATCTTCCTAGATCAGTCCCTGTCCTGACAGCTTTTAAAAAGTCATACTGTATTTTGTCCTGATTAGGGAAGAGACGCATCTGAACCTCATCTAGAATAGTAGCAAGTGCTGCCGCCATTGCCTTGAAGTAAATTGCATTTACACAGAAGCAGGCCAGAACTGGATTTTTTAAATTATTGAACATCGTTTTGTTTTGTTTTGGAACTCGTTTACTCCTACATTTTCTTAATGTTGAGGCTTTTCAGGGGCCTATTATTCCTACCAGCAAAACCACTTTTTTTTTTCCCTGTTCTTTCCCATCATTCCAGTGTGGATGGGCCTCTGAGGAAAATGTTCTGCAAGATTGCTTATGTGCGTTTTCTCCTGACCTAAACACTTATCCCCTTTTCTGTGTCCACAGCATCACCAAATAATCCAGCAGTACATGGTGACCCTGGAGAACCTGCTCTTCACTGCTGAATTAGACCCTCATATCCTGGCTGTGTTCCAGCAGTTCTGTGCCCTGCAGGCCTAAGGGTCATTTTTTTTCCCCCTCCTGTCAAGATTTTTTTAAGATCTCAAAATAATGTCTTATTTTTGATGGTTTGAATGCTTGCTTTCTTGTAGCATCCTTTCTTGAAGCAGAGGGGGAAGACAGGACAGTGAAGAATATGGTATTGATTACCTTTAACTGCCCCCTAAAAAGCAGATATTCCCTAATGACAATAATGTGACAGTGGCCATAGGATGGATGTATTATATATGTGACAGATACAACTTTTCTCTGATATTTTTTCTCCTTAAGGCACAAAAGATAACTGATGTGAGGTATGTGCAACACTAGAGGTCAAGCTTACAAAGTAGTATATAGAACTGATGGGTTTATTATCAAGTAGCATAGCTTTTCACAGCTCATGGGTAACCTAACATGGCTGAAATAAAACTGAAAATATGTTTTTTAAACCTTGGTATTTCATGATTTATCATCTCAGTCTACTTTAAAATTAGTGGTTTCTTACTAAAAGTGAGGTTTCTTACCTCCATCTGAAATTTTCTCTTCAAAGTATTTTTCATTACTGTAGCATTTTAAGACACTACTGTTATTAAAAGATGTTACTAGAGTAGAAGTTCCCAAATTCATCTGAACATAAATCACCTGGGGCTCTTCTAAAGTTTTTTTTTTTTTTTTTAATTAAACCACACTCTCTGGGGGTGGAACACAGACATTGGTAGTTCTTAAAGCTCCCAGGTAATTCCAATGTGCAGATAAGTTTTGAACTATCATCATCTTAGAACATCTGGTCATTTCCTCAAATCTGAGACATCTGTCAGGTCATACAGTGAATTACATGCTAAAGTGGGATTTAGAAGTAGCTAGATTGGCTAAAACTATACTTGGCATTAGATGTAGGTTTGGATTTTATTTCTATGGAGTCTGGGTGGGCCAAGTAATTACTAATTCCAGAGCCTGTTTCCTATATGGTGTTGAGGCTTAATTAAGATGGTAAAAGTACACTGTTAATTAAATAACACACAAGGGATTATCTGACATTCCAAATCCTAGCATTTTTAGACTTTTTTCATTAAATCTTCAGAAAAATTTACCAGTAATCTCACAACTGTAAGTATCTTTGTGCATTTGTACAATCTTTTTTTTAGCTTAGTACATCATAAGTTTATGATGCATTAGGTATTTTCCATATTAATATATGGGGTCTCTTTGGTTTATCATAACATTTAGTGGCTACAGAATATAGTCTACTCAATAGATGGAAATTCCTAGGATTTTTAAATACCGCACCATTTAACAAATAGTCACAGGATTAAGGCTGCATGGCAAGTTACTGGCAGAAAGGGAACTAAAACCCAGGTTCTTTGCTAAATGTTCTTTTGTTTACACTGTTCCTCCTTCCCACAAACTACATAATTAGAAAAAGCTCCTATCCTCAAGAAGCTAAAGGATAACCATTTAAGGCTTTGGTTAACTTTGATCCTAAACTGCTTTGTAATCGTTTCATAATGTATTGCAAAGTTTGGCTAGTTATACTTACTTGATCCAAATCCTAGAGGAATTTCTAGGTTTTCACCTCCTTTCTCTTGGACCGTCTCTTCATGTGTAATGGTTGCTTTTAACAGTTGCTCACTGATGTAACCCTGCTCTGACCCAGTCTGGCAGCTAGGTATATGAAAAAACTGAAACAGAGACTGAGTTTTGAAGAAATAAAGGTACAAGAGCAAACATTCAACAGTTGCTCTCCCCACTAATGAAGCTCACACAGACAAAAGAATGGCATGTCACTGTAACTGTACGTCGTACCTTGCAATAAATCAATATTCTATTAAACTGTGCTGATGCCATTTAACATGCTTTTGTCAAAGTGAACATATACTTTTCCTTAACTCTCAATCTCCCAGGAATTATTCAGAAAGCAGTTCATATGAAGTTTGTTTGCTTTTTCTGGAAAGTATTTAGCAGTGATTTGTATTAACTTACTAATCTACAATTATACCTGAAAATGAAAGATGAGGACAGAACTTGGCAACCAAAAGCAGATCTGGCTGTCAATGTTAACTGGATACCAGGATTGTCCTAAATTGATGAAGGTGAAGAGTGACTAGAAGCCCACCTCAACTGGACAAGTCTATTAACTACACTGGTCCTGATGATATGATGTGCTCATTAACAACTGGCTGTTGTTACGTGCCAGATGCTATAGATTCACCGTATTTAATCGTCATGAGAGTCCTTACATTATTATACCCATCTGATAGATAAAAACAGGCCCACGGAGTAACTTACCCAAGGTCCACAGGTAGTAAGTGGAATCTGAAACTATGTCCATGTGGTGGTTTTAGGGCTTCTTGTCTCCCAGTAGTAATGCTGTTGTCAGCAGCCTGAACCCCTAGTTACTTGCTGGGAAGGTTTTTTTTTTTTCCCCAAGAAGTTCTTGCCGCCCATTTGGAATCGCTTTTTAGTGAGCTGTAATATTCAGCATAACACATTAAAAAAAATCAACACTCGATAAATATATTAAACATTTCTGTATTGAATACTTATATAGAGAACAATTAGTAATTATAGTCTCAAGTCTTTGGATTTGACTTGTTTTGACTTTTGCCCTTCTTCAAGCATAATCTCCAAGAGCTGATCTAGAGAGAGAAATGAAAATGTACAAAAACTTCCTATTTATTTGTAGCAGTAGGATAAAAAGTCCTGTCAAAGAACTTGAAAATATCTAGTTTATCATAACTTGTATTTGTTTTTATCAGGAAAAGAATGCATAGACCCTGTAATCAAGCACTCGGGATCAAATGCTCTTACTAGATATAACTACCTTGTAATCCTTTTGACAAGATAGAGGAATATTTGACTACCTAAACTTGATCAAGATGTCTGGGGTGATGTCAGGTTGTAGGTTACCCCTCCTTTAGAAGTGTTAAAACAAGCACAGCAAGCTGTCTTCCCTCCCAGGATTAAATGAGAATACCTGTAAGCCACTTAGCATAGTGTCTGCATGGCAGGTGGTAAATGCTCAGTAAATGTTAACAAGTTATGATAAACTTATCACTACCTTTGATCAACAAACAATATAGCTGTTTTTCCATTTTAATCCAGATTTGAAAAGGGCTATCTGGAAACTAATATTAAGATCTATAGTAGTAAACCCTAAGGGTACAGAAAACTTGTCCCAGCAATAGCTCCCTGCTCCCTGACTTGCAGACAGTAGTAGTCTAGAAGACCTGGCCCAGCCTCTGGGGTGCAGTGGTCTACCACCATCCCTGCTGTTTCTTGGGATAAGAATCCAGTTCAGCCAGTTTTTGCCTTTACTACTAAAAGCTCTTCCTCCTACCCCAATCTAGGGTTTGTCCCGGTTGCTTCTCAATTTTAGCTCTAACCTAACATTTTTGAACCTATCACTCAGCTCCCATCCCTATTGTAGAAAAAATGGTCACAGACCCAATATTTTGCCCACAACCAGACCTGCTGGACCTTAACTGAAACTTGTTCTTAAGCCATAACATACATAATTATTTAAGCATTATTTATACAAGTGTTTCATTCATCTATGAAGACTTTACGTTTTGATGAATTTTGAACAAGACCAATCTAAATTTCCACACTATAAAACATATCACTTAACTAAAAATCACATTTTCTCGTATGTCAGTTCATGGCCACACACAGTACAAGTCTTCCGGTACACGTCATCCTCTAGGTTTTCTTCTGGTCCATACTCATGTTGATGAGCAACTGTCTCCTTTTTCCATAGACTGCTTCTTACTGCTCGCCGTAATTCTAAGAGAAAAAAGCCAGTTTTTCAGTGGTGCTATTTCAGCTGTGTGTGTTTAAACCAAATGTGGTTTACACCTTAATTTTATAACAAATCAAAACTGCTGATACAGATTTGGCAAGCTTACTTATCTCACTCACTGGTTTGGCCTGTGAAATCATTCATGTGATTGTTGGAGTTAGTGTGAAACAGGAGATTCAGAATTGAGGTATATGGACTAGAGGGACCGCAAAAAACTAGATTCAGAAGAGAAGCGAAAGAACAGGGTTTGTTCGAGCAGCTGGCTACAGAAAACAAGATGCCACAGCAGGAAAGGGCAATCAGCTGGGATGACTGAGGATAAAGAGCATTTTAAATTCCTTGTAAGTCAGGAGCTACTTCTCTAAGAGGCAAGTCAAACTTTGCTTGCAAGAAAACTAGAAAGCCAAGAACTCCGCCACTAGTTCATGGCTGATGTTAGAAAAGCTGCTCATGCAACTGACCTTATGTCTATTATTATTTATCCTATAAAATGAGAGCAATAGTTTAGGACATAAATTGCTAGTAATCATGCAAAGTACAACATAAATAAAAGAATCACTGACTATTAAGAGCCGGAAAGAACCATGGAGTTATTTTACTTCATTTTACTTTGCAGGTAAGGAAATTGAGCAAAGATAGCATGGGAACCCAGGTCATTTATTCCAATGTTTAGAACTTTTCTCGCTAAACACGTTAAGATGTCATTTTCACAAAGAAAAGTTACGTTGGATGCTCTGAAAAGCGACTAGGACATTATAAAGTTCACACTGCATGTTACCTGAAGAAACCAAATGCTTTGTGTTAATCAGAAATTAACAAGCTAATAACATCTCAGTTTCTAGTTTAATGAATAAAAAGCAACATGAGTTGTTTTCATTTTTCTATTCTGACCAATGGTCCATCAAGCCCTGCACTTTTGATAGCAGCACTACCTAAGGGAGGGTATGATCATTATCTTCTATAATCTCAACCTTAAAAATCAAAGTACACCAAGTAATCACACAACATTTTGTTTAATCCATTTTACTATGATAAGTACTATCAAAATAATACTTGAATCTTTGTATTTTCAGCCTTTATTTGTACCATGAGGATAAGCAAGCAAATAGGGCTATGTATCAGGCACTGTTCTAAGCACTTTATTTATAAACATTTAATCCTCACAACACTTTGCAATAAGTACAACTATCAACCCAGTTTTACAGATGAGAAAACTAAGGCTCAGAGAAGTTACATAAGTTGTGCCTAAGATCAGGCAGAGGCACAGTCTAGCTCAGGCCATGTTCTTAACCACTAAGCTGTGATGCCTTTTCATACACCTCCAACATGAAAAGCACTTTATCTGAGACATTTTCAAGCTTCAATGTATATACCTCTAGACAGTTTCCAAACTAGGGAGAAAATCATGTTCATCCAAACTCTAACCTTTATTCCTATATCCTCTCATATTCTGAAGAACCCTAGTTTTTCTAAACATATCTGGAATGCCCTTTATCCTTTTATTTTTCTACCTTGGGATATTTTTAAAATAAAAAATAAATGATATGCTGACCAGAACTGCACAGATGCCTCATGGTTTCAGATAATGACAGGAAGATGTCTCCTGTCCAAGTTCCAATACCTACTTTTCAACTTTGCTCTGATGTAAGG